ATGTGAGGCTGGACGGTATTTTGATGTCTTTGTACGATTTGCTCAGTTGTGTGTTATGAGCTGTAATATAGGTTCACTTCTTTGGTCTGTTGTGTGACAGGCTGGTTTTTCTCGATTGGGTAGGTTGGAGATTTATACCCGTTGATGGCAGCTTGGAGCTATGCTTTTCAATACGTGAATTGGAGTTATGTCATTATCATCTTTCTGGCTGCAGGACAAGTAGACAGAAAGAGCTGGAATAAGTTGTCCAGGTCAAAACTGGGTAAATACAAGAGCTGTGTCGGCAAGCCAGAACCCGATAACTCACAATCTACCTTTAGTGCTGATTATACTTCCATGAGCTTTTCAAAAGCGATTAGATAGGCCTAAATACAGGATAATACGTGAAAAAACCTACCTTGATAAGCTAACTTTCGAGTACAATTCGTAGACAAACACTAGAGACAAACAGAGAACTCCACAACACCCGACCACATATCACCACATCACATCCTCATCTAAATCTCCGACTACCCATCACCTACCTGATAGTGGCTGAGCCGCACAGCCATAGCCATTAATACCTTGGCCACCTGGCTAGCTGAACAGCCCAAACCTGCCAATCTTCGCTTCTTCCCCAATGATTCTTCTCCGCCGACCCACCACGCTAAATCCATCTCACGCACGAAGGATCGTCGCCGATTCCCACGCGTCCAGTCCGTAGACGACCCGACCAATTAGCACCTCTATCTCCACTGCCCTAAATGCTACCAACATGGATCGGAATAAAACAGACAAGGTACAACCATCATTGTACGGAGCAATCGGATGATGCCCGCCAGGTGCGAAGAGCCTTACCTGCTACATAGTCTAGTCCAGCTGGGACGCATGAGGCTGAAGACCCTGTCAGCATGGGTTATTAATAAGGTTTGGGTTCTCACGCGATGGGCAAATATTTCTTTCTGATCGTTTCGCGGAGTGTAAAGTTGGTTGAGGGCCAATACTTTCTTCAGACTACTAGTCATGGGTTTCGGGCGATTAAGCAAATATGCAGCTGTTTTTGCGGGGTTAGTGCTAGGTGTTTCTGCTATTGATTTTAACATCAACAGCACCGGTATGCGGCATCATCTGCTTCTGCAACCACAAGAAGGGTCACTAACACAACAACAGACACCATTAAATCCGCCTCCGCCATTGAATTCTCCAATCTCCTCAGCACCGACAACTTCAATGGCACCGTCAACCCCATCTACAACACGTCCTACCCAGAAGGCATGCTCTACATGTCCCTAATCCCCTACTGGAACGCGACCGGCAACACAACCTACAACGAGTTCATCATCTCGCGCATGCACAACCACTCCGAGAGCATCTTCAGCGGCGAATGGGAAGAAATCGACGTGCTGACCAGCGACTTCGTCACTTGGGGTCTTGCTGCAATGGCTGCGTCAGAGGCGGACTTTCCGGGTAGTCCAGCCAACTCGTCATGGCTGACCTGGGCGAAGAAAGTCGCGTATACGATGGAACTGGTTGTTAGTCAGGGCTCGGTATGCAATGGTGGATTGTATGATGATGAGAGTCAAACGCACGGGACGGACTTCGATTGGTTCAGCAACGGGGCGTATTTCCAGCTTATATCGAGGGTGGCGTATGCGAGTGAGGGCGATGACCAGGGGACGTATGCGCAATATGGGGCGAGTGCGTGGTCGTGGAGTGAGAAAACGGGCATGGTGAATACCACCGAGTGGTCGGTGTATGATCTGGTCTCAAATACGACGGCGAATGCGTCGACTTGTCAGGCTGTGGATACCGCGAGATGGAGTATGGCGTATGGGCTCTATTTGAGTGGAGCGGCGTATATGTATGGAGCGGTAAGCAGCACTTCCTCCATTGGTCTAGGGTTGAAGGTAGATCATTGTGGGGCGATAGCTAACGACAGCAGACCAAATCTGACATATGGATGACACGGACCGAAGGACTCCTCAACAGCACGCTCGACACATTCTTTCTCAACGACATCATGGTAGAAGTCGGATACAGCAGTGTCAGTCTAGGCACTGCGGAGCAGTCCAAGCTATCAGCTTACCCCTTCAAGGGATTCCTAGCGCTGTGCCTTGCATCCGTGGCAAACCTTATCCCGGATTTCGCCGGTCGGATTGTGCCGCTCCTAGCAGACACAGCTGTGGCGGTAGCCGAGCAATGCGATGGAACGAGTAATCAGACTGTCTGTGGTTCCGACTGGGGGTCGACTTCGTATAATGAAGATCCTTCGTTCGAGAATACCTGGAATGCTGCCAATATCTTCGCCTCGAAGTTGCTTGCGCCGGACATCTCCAAATCGGGAAGTACCCCTAGTAGCGGCAATTCCACGGCGAGTGATACAGCCAGCAAAGATGGAAGTGGAATCTCGAATGGCGCGATTGCTGGTGCCGTGGTTGGTGCGGTGGCAGGCGCGGCTTTGATTATTGCTGCGGTCTTGTTCGGTCTCCGGAAGATGAAACAGAAGAGGATCCCCGTCCCTACAAAGGAGCCTGATGACATTGAGTATGTCAAGAAGGACCCCGCGGAACTGGCGCAGAAGCCTTACGTCCCTGAGATGGATAATGGAGTCGTGACGGAACTACCGGGGAAGGCTGATGCGAGTATTCCTCATGAGGTGGATTCAGCGCCGGTGTCTGAGCTTCCAGTCAGAGCTAATACGATGCGTTATGAATTAGCATGATAGCACTGTTTCGGGCGCGTATGGCTCTATAGCCCATAGTATTAATATAATTATCTTACCCACGTCTGGCAAAGTCAGGCGTGCTTTGTCTTATGCTATAATTAGTACCCAGACGCCTAGGAATGCCCCGAGAATATCTCACATATGTCCAAGATGCAGCATTCCTCCTTCTTTGTGTCCGATGGGATTGAAGGTAAAGTATAGAACTCAAGGGAAACAGGATGAACGTGAGGGAAAGGACAATGTGCAAAACTTCGCTAATTTCAGTCCCACTGGCAAACAAGTAGCAATTATATAACAGACAAGAATTATATGCATAAGGATCCCTCTTCTCTGACATACCCCAACTACTGTACCATCTAATTATCATCCCCTTTTCTCTACTCTACCCACAATGCTTTTCGACAACAATACTCATATCACCTCACTGTCATCCAAATGTCAGCGCGGATCAACGAATCAAGTAAGCCTAGGCGGTATAGAAGGCCAATGAGCAAAGGCAGTGAGGACATACTCCAGCTCCTCAAGGAAATTTGACATAGAATAATACTGGTCCGAGTTTGCTGGGGGCAGCGTTTCGTAGCCAGTGAGGAATGTTGACGGTAGCGGTTCGATTGTCTGCTGGCACTGATAGCTTCCGTACAGTCGAGCCTCTTCCAAGAAATAAGGATAGTTGTAGTTGTAGCTGTATTGCGATACTGTGTTTCCGTCACGAGCGTACTGGCATTGCTGTACCTCTTCTTCAAAACGGACGCGGCATTTTCTTCGCTTGTTCCAGTTTTCGCGTGAGCTGAGGATTATCTGCACAATGAGGTATTAGCATTGATGGGTGAAGTGGTAGGTAATGTCTCTGACTCACACTAGGGACTGAATGGATGGTTATGCTCCAGAACCGGCCAAGCAGAGACTTTCCATCTGTAGAGTCGTTGGACATTGAAGACTCTTCTGAAAGTCCCCAAATGCTGGGCTTTCGCTTCAGAGAAGGCTTTCTAGGAGCTTGTGCCGGGGGTGCCTCGCTCGGTGTTGGACTGGGGCTTCTGCTAGACTTTAGTGGACCGTAGAGCCAGGTAATGTCGCTATCTTTGTCCCTACATCAAGTCAGGATGTCACGGTTCAGGAACACGATGACTGGGCTGGATTTACCAGGAGATAAACGCCGCTGGCATGCGAATGGTTTGCCTGGTAGACGCCAGCCATGCTCTCCAAAGAGCATTTTCGAATCGACATCTAACAAGACTATGCTGGTTTATCTGGCGAACATGTTTTCTAGTAGCCCACATCTCATTATACGTCCAGGGATGTGCAAGATAGTCAACATTGACTTTGGCATCCTCTTCAATCCAGAGATCATCGCGCACAGCCCTGGGTCGGGACATGGTAGCCTCGAGGGGGCTGAGGAGTAGGAAACGGGAAATGGGGAAGGGAGAAGGTAGAGGGTGGCGATAGTGACTCGTAGTGAATGGTCGTCTCTTCTGAATTAGTCGCGATCATCAAAGACCAGTAGGTGGGTGAGGATGACTGGACTTAATATACAGAACGGCAAGAATGCAAGCACGCTCTATCTACCAGGCAAATGCCCGGTCTACTCTATCAACACTTCGTTAGCACAGTATCAGTCCCACAACTGATAAGAGCTCTACATGTCATACTTCAGTGTTTCCACTCAGAACACGGGCTAAACCAGACGCGTGAATCTGATATCGAGTATGATTGGCGAACCAATATCTACAAAGGGTCTATTTGAGGTATCTCCCCGGTTGCGGAGAGCTAGAAACACGGTGCACAGAGGAGTTTCAGTGGCCCAGCCGCCCGGGACAGCCGAGTTACCGAAGATGGGGAATGGTGGACGTGACAGCCGGCGCCACCAGAGCCGATGAGGCCGAGCAGGGAAAGAGGAGTTGTAACCATGGGGTGACATCTGGCCTTGTCAAGGGACGCGTCCGGGGCTGTTGGAGTCTCCCAGCCAACCACAACTTCGTTGGCTGGCCGGAACATTCAGCCGCCCAATCAGCACCCCGGATTTCACATACTACGCCAGAACATCAGAATCTGACTCGTGGGCCTTGCCCTGAAATATGCTCTCGGCTGCAATATCCCCGATCCGTGGCGACAGCTGGGAGCTCTACTTGAGTGGGGATCTAGACCTGCCGATGAGCGATATGGGATTCCCGATCTCCTTCCTTAACGAGCCCAGCCCTTCCTGCACAGCCATGAACCACCGTATCGAATACATCGCTACCACTTACCAGCCTAGCATACCATATCTTCCATAGACTCATGATGTCTGCGAAGAAGAATGCTCGGCGTTTTCTCGCCTCGCCTGCGGTTGTCACCCCCGCCCTATCTCGTAGAGGATCCATGTCAGAATTTTCTGCGGGGAATGCCTCAGGTTGTAGACGGGCAGAAAGTATTTGAAGCAAGCAGGTATCGAGCAGAAGTACTTTGTACCCTCCATCACACTCCCCTACTCTATCAAATAAGAAAAGATGCCTTGGTCCCTTGGAAAATCTCTAGGCCTGATTGGTCGCGGGCAAGAACCACTCTCCTTCTCTCTTACCGGAAGCCCTACTCTTTGCGCGAACACCCCTTACATCTCGGATCTCAACGCCTCGAGGCTTCTCTCCACACCAGATCGTACCGAAGCAGATGCCCGCTGGACTTACCACACGGAACGAGATTACGAACCTGAAGACAGCTTCAAAGAGCACGCCGTGTTGTGCCTTCCGTGTTGCCATCATACCGAAGACAACCAGCCGGGTATGGACGATACTCCTCTGGATAGAAAGGCCCGTAATGCTCTCGAAGAGTATTCCAATTCTTTCGATGAATATCGTCTGCTCAAACGGAGGTTATCTACGTTAACGCACTCGCCACGGAGCGAGAAAGCTGCATAACCGTCACCATGTCGTGCAATAAGCTGCGATGCATGCAGTTTTGGAAGCAAGTCAACCTGGCTTAAATTTACGGCGCTACCAATGATCAGGATGTTTTGGAAGGAACCTGTAACACTATGCTTATTTTAGAGCATTTAGCTATATGTAATTAAAGTGGCATGAAATGCATGGTCGGATGTTTCTCATTTTATCAATGCATGCAACTTCGATATCATTGCCACTCTACTCAATCTTCACTGCAAGCTGCTTTCGGCACGACTTCTATAGCACATCCTGTATAGCACATTCAACAGTCTACTGGGCTATATGAAACATTATGAGATAGACCGAAGCGCAATTTGTCGCTCAAGTTAAGTCGGGTGGCGATTCCTTATCAAATGGTACAGATGCGAATATTTTGGCTTTATTGCTATTAATTCTAGAACTGCTGCACGCAGGGCTGGAATGCAACGTAGCTATCTATGTACTGGAAACAGTAGCAGTGGCGAGGCCCAGTATTCCGGAAGACTGCCGCGTTACCCTAATCCATGGTGGCGCTCCAGACCTGCCTTCGAACCTGATCTTAGTCAGGCCGCATTGATCATACTGTTTTTCCATGGTCGAAGTCAACACGAGATATCTTTATCGTGTTACAAGCTTTCTACGCGCAATCATCATGATGGCTGTGCATATAGAATCCCTGTTTGATAACACGTATGTGTACAACTGATAGAAATGTCTAGGCTAATATTATTATTGCTCGCTTCGTAGATACTACTCTTGATTCTAGTATACTCAGTCAAGGAATAACGGATTGCAATTAGTACTATCAACCCCCAATAGTTCGATCACGCTTGAAACATCCTCAAACACCAAGTCATCACGACCAACCATGTCCGCCAGGAACCATCACACCTGCACCTTCATCCAACCTCAAATCCTCCACCACATCAGCACCTCCCCCATCGCCCCCTCCAAGGCCCGACGCGCCGCCTTCCGCACCCTCACTCTCGCCAACGAAATCCACCACATCCGCCTCTCCTCCTCCCCAAACATCTCCCTCACACCGCACGCCCAAGCCTGCGACATCTACGACTGCCGCAACAAGCGCGGTCTCCCAGGCCTCCTCATACGCACCGAATCCTCCTCCGGCCCGACCACCCAAGACGACACCGTAAACCACGTGTATAATAGCTTCGGCATCTTCCTGCACTTTCTCTCATCCGTGCTGGGCCGGTGGTCCATCGACAACGACGGTCTCCGCCTCATCGGGTGTCTCCACTACGACAAGAACCTAAACAATGCGTTCTGGAACGGGCAGGAGATTATCTTCGGCGACGGGGACGGGGTATACTTCACTGGGTTCCCGAAAAGCCTGGATGTCGTTGTGCATGAGTTGATGCATGGAGTGACGGATCATACGGCCGGGTTATTGTACGAGGGACAGTCTGGGGCGCTGAGTGAGAGTATCTCGGATGTGTTTGCTTGTGTTGTTGAACAGTGGTGGAGGGGACAAGGCGTCGAGGAGGCGGATTGGGTGGTTGGAAGGGGGGTTTGTGTTTGGCCGAAGGGAAAGAAAGGTGCTGGTGCTGGTGTTGGGGAGATGGGACTGAGGTCGTTGAAGGCGCCGGGGACGGCGTATGATGATGCTGTTCTTGGGAGGGATGCGCAGCCGAGCCATATGAGGGGGTTTGTGTGTACGGAGAAGGAAAATGGGGGTGTGCATTGGAATTCGGGCATTCCGAGTCATGCGTTTTATCTTTGTGCTGTGGGCTTCGGCGGACGGAGTTGGGAAAGAGCTGCGGTGGTTTGGTATCAAGCGTTAACTGATCCGAGAGTTGAGCCGAATTGTAGCTTTGAGAGGTTTGCGTGTGTGACGGTGGATATTGCGGAGGCGATGTTTGGGGAAGAGGCTGGGGGATTGGTGAGGAGGGCGTGGGTGGAGGTTGGAGTTGAGGTTGGAGAGGTGTTGTGGACGGTGAAGGTTTGATGCCTGCTGCTAGGATTCATGAATTTGGTTATGGATTTAGTAGTGTTTGGGGGGTTGTATTTGGGTTCGCAATTGCCCTTTTCATAAATGTAGACCGTGCGAAAAACACTATTGCCATGTCCTACTGCTCCCGCTGCTACTATTGGAGCCATTATTAGTGAGCATCAACATACAATGCCATTCTGATAATTGTATTCTTTGACTATTTGTAAGTAGATTGAATCGTCCCATTAGTGTTAGCCTTCCAGATCACGAAGATGAAGCCACTTGATGATCATAGAGCATATCCATCACCTGACAATAGTGTGTTGTATGGCAGGAGCATGAATGCGTGTAGAATGCACATCTCTGGAGCCTACCAAAAGCTGCAGTTAGTACTTTGTCTGCTTGGTAAATTATTAGTTTGAATGGGAGGTTTATCCTTCTCCTGTACTGTTTAATAGAGCTGCTGTTCCTTCGGGCAATACAATAGTATATCTTTTCCGTTTTATGAAAATTATGCTAGAACAGGCCGCGGTGAATGATTTCATCCAGGACAGTTTAGGCAATTAAGCACATGGGCTTTCTATACAGGCAGCACAATATGGTTTACCCATTCGATCACTATCACAATTTAGAGCCCTCACTCAACATCAGCACCGACACTAAAGCGCTCTCATTGGCTCACATGCTTTGAAGAGTATTCACTGAACTTCACTGCTCAGTGTTTACAACTACGCGTCTCTTTCCTCTCACCTTAGCTTCCCCTCTCACCCGCAGTAGACATATTCTTGACCCAGTCACTGTCAAAGAAGGCTCACTTTGGCGAGTAACAGTACGCAAGCCTGCCTGATAGGCTATCTACTATCTGTCCAGGACCAACAACCCATCTCAAAGGAAAGTAAGTAGAATGAGAAACTTCACTTTATTCTTGTCTCACTTCACCCAAACTCACCTCAATCCTTTGTACAGGCCACGTGTTGCAGGACTACCAGTCCACTCCCAAATCTAAAATAGAACCGACTAAGATCATTTGATCTGAGGTTTAATTCACAAACGGGTAGAGGCCGTAATGGCAACTCCGAGGAAGGCTTCGAACAGGCCAAAGAAACGGACTTTGGTCCGCTGGGACGGTATGTCCCCTATCTCTTCTTCGATAATCCTATCTTGTGGGGAACTTGTTTAACCGAGGCTAACAAGTATAGAAAATCTGAACGAGCTCCTTCTATTGACTGTCCAGTCCGTTTGTAATACAAAGTCTATCAAAATTCCTTGGGCTGATGTCGCTAATACCATGGGTCATAATGTGACGGAGGGCGCAATCGTACAGCACCTTGCAAAGCTTCGCAGTCGTCGAGTCTCTGCAGACAAGGCTGTCCCCCCTCCCCTTCGACGTGGTGCTACTGCTATACCCAAGTCTGAAGAAACGCCCATAAAGAGCATCGCAGACGAGGAATCAAAGCCGAAGGGTAGCTCGAGTAAGAGCAATGGCTCTGGGTCCCGTGGTAAACCTCGAGACCAGAATACATCGTCAGACGAAGAATGGGTCCAAGGAAGGCCTCCAAGATCACGAAGACTGCGAAAAAGAAGAAAGTCGGCGGTCAAAGTTGAGGAGAGCTCTTCTGAGTCTGAGAAGAGTGAAAGCGATGACGACGACAAGCGCAGCAGCGTGGCCAGTTCCGATGAGCTTTTGGTTCCTGGTGCAAAATTCCTCGAATACCCAAATGACGCGGAAGAACCACAGAGTAAGATCGTGACACTCAAATACCGTCGCCCTTCTGCGGCCAAGGCAGACAATGCACCCTCCAAATCTCTGGATTTGGCCAATGACACCATTAATGTCAATCCTTCCCTTGTCCTATCATCTCAGCATCCCAGAATCCCTTTTGACAACGATCCCGATATGATGGACTTGTTGCCACACAACTTACCAAATCGTTATGTATCCGGGCATACCTCCAATGAACTGCCTGCACTGCCTTCAGAAGAGCATATTTCTTCCGATGATCTGTGGAACACTGCACTCGGCCCGCCGTTTCCAACAGGCATGGTCTACTCGGGCTTGAATCCCACTTTCGAAGCGATTGTAAATGACCCTTTAGGGTACTCCCAAGAAGACATCGATAGATATCTCACCTTTGATTCTGGCAGCTATCCGCATATGCCCACCAGTTATACCAGGCCGGACCCACCACTGAACGACTTTGACATGGATGAGGACATGAAGTGATCAAACTGTTCTTCGATCTGGTATTTATAAATGAAATAAGGCCCGGCAGACTTTTCTTTACATACCTTTGCCCTTGCTCTCCTGAAATTTTCGCTTCGATTGAATACTAATGATCTTATACACATTCTGCAATTTTCTCGTTTTCATCTCAATATTTTCATTTTCCATCAGTTCATTGCAAGGGTTTTCATGTCGGATAATTCTGACATGAGCGATAATCCTCATGCAATGTTTTCGTGTTCCTTCACTCACGTCCTTCTTTCATCTCGGATATCTCTGACATATATGACCAACATAGTGTATTTAACTATCCAATTATTTAGCTGTTATTTAGCAAATAAGTCAATATGGACATCATATCGAAGCAATTAAAATCTCTTATCGGTAGAGTGTGGAAAGAGTGTTAACGGATGAGGACAGTCTACTACCAGAATTATCTACCGAGGTTTAAATACTTGAAAGACTGAGATGAATAAGGAGTCATTGACAAAATAAGCATTCAATCTGTGTGTGCACAATTAACTATCCCATCAGCGCTGCATATTTATCATTCCTTTCATAAGCGACCGAGTAATAGTTCAATTCGACCAGAAAACTCATTTCGCTTCTCATTCCCGCATTGGTGTACTACTCTATCCGCGGTTTCACCAAACGGAACCACCAACTGCATTTCACTTGTTACTAACAACTAATCCATGCCATTAGTTAGTCACGCGCTTCTTCGTTATTGATGCAGGTTGAGCAGTACTGTGAGTGTAAATCTCGATTCTTCAAGCAGTGTTAGTGGCGAGAAAATGAACCAGGGGAAACAGAGCGGTGGCGTGTAGTGCAAATGGCACGGCGTTGTTTCCGATGACTGATACTACCAATATTACATGTACTGGTAGTAAAGCGTGACCATCGGTTCAGTCCTTCTTGTCTAGCAGGGTGATTTTGAATCTGTTGGTTATGTTTCCCTCAGAGTGAAGAGTAGTCTATTCACTTGCACGCAGTATACCAACACGAAAGTTGTAGAAGCCATGTAGTGAAACATCTCATTGATAACTCTTCATCCTTTGCATTACCTACACAGAAGCTATTAAATCTTACACCCAAATCACTAGAGTTGGTGAAGCCTTTCCAATACCTTTCCGCGTGGTCATCTTCACCATAGATCAAAGCCACCACTTCGCACCTTCAACTGCAACTACACAATCATCATATCTATTTTTTCTCTACGTTCATATTACCCATCCTTCAAATCCTCCCGTGTCAAAGAAACAAACACATCATGAAACCCATCCTCATCGTCTTCACCTTCGGCCTCCTTATCAACCAGGCCCAGGCCTGTGGCATACCCGGCGCATTCTGCAGCCGCTGGGGTGCTAAAGCATGCGAGTGCAATGGAGGACACCTAGTACGTGGAATCAATCTGAATTCTATTCATAGATGCTAATCATGGTTTCAGTTGGAGTGTCAGGTCACCGTGGCTCCGACGGTTGATGGCCAGGGCGGCGAGACCGAGGCGTTCTGGACCAAGATCAGGAACTGTCCTGTGCCGGCTGGTGGCGGGTTGCAGTGTGTTGACGGGGCTTGTACTTCTTGATCGGTCAATAATAGAAGGCATGGAGGATTAAATGGTTAGGGGTGATATGCTAGGGTAGATGACTGCGGTGGGATTGCTGATAGGGGATAGTGGTGGAAGAAATGCTGTTGTACGGTCGGAAATGGAACAGGCGTGTCGATTCGCTCTCAGCCGTCGCTTAGGAGAAAGCATATGGACACATGAAGTGGAAAGATGGCGATCTGGTCATCGTTGAGATATTGGTTTTGTTAGGCATGAATGCAGCATCAGCAGTTACTTTGTCAACACAACCACTCGTGCAAAATCTTCTATAGGCTTTTTGGACTTTGTAAGTATGCCCAACAGGAAGACATACACGGTTACAGGGAGAATTGCCTACAGTGTAGGAAACGATCTCATCTCGCATATCGGCGACTCCGTGACGAGAGGCGAAAGCTGAACGCTGACGTGGAAAGCTTATCGCATGAGTATAATCGAGGTAGAATCAGTACTCGGCGCTAGACATGCATCTCCGACCTCACCTGATGAGCAATGTAGCTGTGTTATTAGTCCATCGTTGCATAATCGGGCTTGGATCTCTTTGAGATCGAAAACTCTGTATGGACGTCTTACCAACGAGTGTAGCGGTCTGCAGATGAGATGTGGTATTTCCTTTTTGCTACGATCCTCTGCCTCATCCCTTGCATTAAAGTTAAGCTTAGGGATAGATATGACGAGCTCCCGCATGGACCATGTGTGAGATTATCACAAGCTGGACATTACAGACTGGATTCCGATCGGGTCTCCTATCCACCGCTCGACCATTTTTCAGTGACCGGTGCTCTGCTTGTTAGCTATTTGGTATACTTCAAGTGGCATAGGAATCTCGGCGTGCATTATGCTATTGAAACTCACTGCACAGGATCTCGGAAATCACCCCGCGATCTGGTGGATCCCCCATCTTTCGGACGAATAGCATGCCAATTTTGCCTCGATGTCTGTCAGCTCTAATGCCGGAGCGAAGCTCTAGGCCATGCAAATGACTCATGACAGGATACCAGATCTGACATAAACTAGAGCTACCGAGTACTTCAAATATACGGCTTCTCCCACCCAATTTCGACCCATCTCCAACCTATCCTCCACCATGGACCCTTCAACCAACCCCCACCCCCGATTCGGATGGATCGGTAAGGACCCATCATCCACCTTATATACAGAGTACTAAATTCCCAGGTCTCGGCTCAATGGGCCAAGCCATGGCCCTGAACCTCCAAGCCCACCTATCGCACATCAACGCCCCATCTCTGAAATTCTACAATCGAACCGCAGCTCGTGGACTCCCCGTCCATGAGATTGGGGGGGTGCAGTACACCAACATCCCCGACCTCATCGCCAACACCGATATCTGCTTCATCGCCGTGACTGATGATACTGCTGTTCGATCAATCATCGACACTATCACGACAGTAGGCCCAGAGTATCTACGCCAGAAACTCATCGTCGATACCACGACCGTCCATCCAGATACATCTGCCTGGGCAAAACAACGTCTTGGAGAACACGGAGCAACCTACATCGCATCACCGGTATTCGGGGCCACGCCAACCGCGCAAGAAGGCAAGTTATTGTTTGTGGTTGCGGGCACGGATGAGGCCGTGCAGCGGGTGGAGCCGTACATTGTGGGTGTTATGGGGAGGAAGATGATGAGGTTGGGCGAGGATGTTACGAGGTCTACGTTGTTGAAGTGTACGGGGTGAGTTCTGGCCTTCTTAGCCATCCAATCCTCTGTGAATATATCTAATTGTTGCTCAGGAACTTCCTCATCGGCGGCATGATGGAACTCGTCGCCGAAGCACAGGTGTTAGCGGAGAAGTCCGGTCTCGGGAGTGAGGTTCTCGAGGGGTTACTGGAAGAGCAGTATGGTCCTCTTCTTACCTCCATGTCGAAGAGGATGACTGGGGGTTTCTATCTGCCTGAACGGGGTCAGCGACCGTGGTCAGATGTGAATTTGGCCATTAAAGATGTCTCGTTGGGGGTGAGTTGTGCCGAGGGAGCGGGAACCGATTTGCCCGTCGCGCGGGTGGTTTTGGATCATCTCCGGGAGGCTCGGGGGTATGGAGAGGAAAATGGACGGGCATTAGATTCGTCGTCAATGTATGGGGTGTTAAGAGAGCGTGCGGGACTTGCGTTTGAGTCGGAGAGGGTGAAGCAGAGGGATGCTGGGAGGAGTGATTAAGTTGAGGGGGAATATGGTGGGGAGTTATATATATCCTTTGGTGTCTCTTCCGAAGAGCAGAGAACAATTCATGCATGGCGCATTTTACAACGATAAATGTTCAAAATACATTTTAAATAATGCATAAGGCATGTAAAAATCTATTTACACACATAATCCGCTGAAAAATATATGTTAACAACGTAAAAGGAAAGTTCTGCAACGAAATGTACGGGAAGAGAAAAATAAAAAGAAACGTCAGCGACAGGACTCGAACCTGTGCGGGCGAACCCAATAGATTTCTAGTCTATCGCCTTAACCACTCGGCCACACTGACTAATTGTTGAGTGATGGGAAAACTTTTCGCCTTAGGAGCTAATGTCGCAGCAAAAGCAATCAATAATTCGAATGAATCTTCATCTAAACGAGAGTCATTATTTCCTATCATAATTATAATCAACACCGATACATCCCCTCCCCACATTATCCGACTATACAATATTTGCATCAAATTTTACAACAAGTAACCCACTTCATCAAATCCCTCGCATACATCCAGCTCGGATACAAACAACAATAAACCCCCACCACGGCCGTAAGCACCACCGCGGACAATGTACTACATCCACTACTACCACTACTCATCCGGCAGCAGATCGTCGCTTTGGTCTGTTCATATCACTAAGGTCAGCTTTCCTTTCTTCTACCACAAATAAACCAAGCACGTAAAAGAGAATGAACCCACCTTGACTAGGATTATACGGCCTAAAAGACTGCGACCTGTCGGGAGGCGCCTTCGAACCCGACTGCTGCTGCTGTTGCTGTTGCTGCTGCGATTCACCCGTATCAGCGTGATGAGCCCGACGGTTCAGTTCTTCCCATCTGCCTCCGGAGCTGAGGTCATCGACTTTTTCGACGAGCTGTGAGCCGGTGAGGTGGTATGCGCCGGAGGGTCTGCGTTCGCTGGTCATTGTGGTATCTTTCTTTCTTTCGTTCTTAGTTTCTTGTGATGATGATATTGACAGATCGTTTCGGATGAGATAAGAATAACTAGGAATAAGGATGAGGGCGGAGGCGATTTATATTATAGCTTTAGTGGAGTATGACATCGTGGGGGAGGGGGGAGCGGGGAAGACGAACCGTGGTTGTGGCAATACTTGAAGGTGTGTTATTGGGGGATGGGCTACGGGTGACGCCCCCGAACATGTGGGTGCCAATCATCGGGGCTGTTTGTTACGCGGATATTGCATCAGATATTATTCATCTTATTCATGGAGGGACTATTGTTTGCGGGACGGTTTGGGTTGGTTGGTTGGTGATTGGGTAGGGTTGGTGGTGGGTGGTAGCGAGTGTGCTGAAGTAGTGAGTGGGATTGTCGCTAAACAGACTGTTATACACTGCATTCGAATTGGCGATAATCAGGAGATTGATGATCGCATTGCAGATTTGCTGCTACAGATAGTGTGGCATAAGCTATATATGGGGAAATCAGTAGCTAGATGTCGTCTTAGCTACATGCAGCATACGCTTCCTGCCCAAAAGAATCAAGTATAGATTTAGCAATATGCATTTCACTGCATCTTTTCTCATTTATAGCTACTCTATTAGTCTACTTCTCTTATCAGCTATAATAACTCTTAACTCTTGTTTAACTCGCTTATGTTTCGACATCCGAAGCGACCAAAAAAATTGATGATCACTCATCCACCAAGCCAAAGGAACCGACCAAAGCATGATGATCACTCCATAAGGGTTCATCGTCAGAAGATCCGCTTATCGGTTTCGGCTCAATTGTCTTAATGTCATGCGGTCGCAGCCCGAGTATACCTATTTTATCAAGCCGATTGGGAAGGAATGGTTGCTTGCCATCTAGGCCCCAAGTTAAGCCAGGTTCTCCGGGCCGAAGAGCTGTCCAAGCATCCGCCAAGCCGTTCTTTTCTAGAAGGCCGTTGTCCTCATCGAGGACAGGGTTGAAGTCACCTGCGACTAGACCTTGACCTGCGACGCGAAGGAGGGATGCAACAATAGATACCTGCTTGGGTCGGTGGGAAGGTTTGATTGGCAAAGAGTCTAGGTGAACATTTACTAGACGCAACCGTGTTGGACTGGGTTCCTTAGATGAAGCGACGAATATATCACAGCAGAGAGCATCCCTAGCAAAGTGACTCGGGAATTTCACCCTCCAAATTGGTCCTATGGCGGCGTTTGTCGTGAAGCGTGCCTTAGACAGTAAGGTCATTACCGCAAACGATTGATCGCCCCATGATGTGTCTTCACATTCGCTCGAAAGCCAGAGCTCGCGAACCCGCTCGTCTTTCAAGATTTGCTGGAGGGCTGGCTTTGACACTTCTTGGAGGAAAATGATATCCTCTCGGGGATCTAACCCGATAATACACGTGATTATTTCTGTAACGCGTTTCTCAGTCTGAGGAGACGTTCCATCAATATTCCATGTCAGCAGGACAAGCCTTGAGGTATCGGCACCCCCAGCTGGGTCTGCTGGTGTATCTGTATCGATGTCGGAGCGAGTGGTAATCCAACTTTGGACAGGGTCAAAAGTATGCCAGGACTGGAACTTTGGGGAGGCGCAGGCCCCAGATGGGAGTGGTGTTCCATGTTTCCAGGAGAGAAAGCTCGTTTGGGCACGTGTGAAAATATCCATATCTTGGATGGAATGGGTGCTGAATGTGCTCAGCAGTGATGAGGGAGTGGGAAAATGCCTGTGAAGCCCAGGGGACAGTGACCTCTTGCGCACGTGATGATTCTAACAACCAGCCGACCAGCCACAGTCAGCTGATCCTCGCAAGTTATTTAATGCACTGGCTACCTGTATGCGGTCTAACTACTTATATTATGAGTCTTACTGTGCAGTCGCATTAGGAGCACTCGGATTCGTCACATGCGGCAACAGCACCTCACAGTGCTCCTGATACGGCAGCGAAGACACCTGCGGCCCGGGGTACTGCAACGACGCAACCCTCGGACTATTCACCGTAAACTGCGGCCACTCGAAGCCAAAGAAGAAGTCAATCGTCGAATCATATGATCGCGCCTTCAAGTACGCCGGATCGACATTCGGGTTCCCAGTCCGGGCAAAAGCACCCCACATATCCTGGATCGCGTTGGTGTAGTAGATGTCGTCGGGCACTCGCACGGGCTGATCGAAGATATAGTATGTGCCGAAGACCTCGTACAGATCGCTGCTATGGCAGCGGTAGTATGGAGTATCTGGCTTTCCTACGGGGAAGGTACACAGGTCGTAAAAGTCATAGTAGCTGAGTGCGTAGCCTCGGTTGTGGATGTAGAACCAGTGGGACTTGAAGGCCCAGGAGGCGGCTGCAATCCATTGCAGGAGTGTGCCGTCACAGTATAGCTGGCCTTCGGTGCCGAGGTGGACTGAGGCGTTGTAGACCGAGGTGTAGGTTGTGCTGCTGTTGTAGACCGTGTTGTTGGTTATTGTGTAGAGTCCTGAGTTGAGGGCCGCTTCTGCTTGGGCTTCGTTGATGGCGGCGTCGTTGATGAGGATCTCTAATGCCTCGCTGAAGTTGCTCATGCTAGGCCAGAGAGTTGTGGTTGCGAGCGACTGGTATTCTTCGAGCATGTTGCCCGTTAGGACGTTGACTGAGTTGATGTACAGTGCCCCGAGTGCATATCGGGCTTGCGTGTAGTCCGCCGAGTAGTGACCGTCGATGACAGTATACCAACTGATACTGTTATTGCTGATATCCAGCAGGGTCTCCGCGGGTAATGACCGCAGGCAGGAAGCCCGCTGCGTGGCTGTGCCGTTACAGAATCTCTCAATATAGGGTAGGGCGTAAGCTGCGGCGACTTCAGCAGTAGCGACATTCGACTTTCCTGACTGGACGATGCCATTTTGAAAGAGGTCTTCGCCAATTATCGCGGGACATGTGATCAAATCATTAACTGATGATCCGCCAGCGGATTGCCCAAATATTGTCACGTTTCTCGGGTTGCCTCCGAATCCAGCAATGTTTTGCCTAACCCAGCGCAATGCTTGAATCTTATCGGTCATCATGTAGTTGCCGTTGAGCTCACCATCGTTTAGAGCCAAAAGGCCGAATATGTTGAGGCGGTACTGGGTTTCAGTCAACAATAGAAATAATGGGTATTGGGAATTTGCTACATACGTTAAACGAGACAACCACAACATCAGAGCGAGACGCAAGACTAGCCCCATCAAAAGTGGAGTCAGCGGCCGAGCCTTGGGTATCCCCACCACCATAGATCCAAACCATCACGGGCTTCCCGTTGTCAGGATCCAAGGAGTCGGCTGATGGGATATGTGGCGTCCAGACGTTGAGAAACAGACAGTCTTCACTATTTCCCCAGGGGTCTGATAAATTAGCAACCATGTTAACGTGCCTGGGTGGGTGACATACTCAGACCATACGAGTTGCCATCGAAGTAACCAAACTGCAAACAGGCCGGTCCGTAACTCGTGGCGTTCACATACGTAATAGTATGATTCCACGGCTGCGCAGGTTGGAATCGTAGATCCCCCGTCGGGGGCTGAGCAAAGCGAATGCCAGCGAAGCGGAATGCCATGTGGTCCCTCATGCCCTCGAAAGTCGTACCGTTGTAAGTGACATTTACACGGGGGAAACCAAAGTAATCCGTGTCTACTTTGTCGACAAGAGGAGCGCTGTTGGTACACAGAAAGGGAAGATCGGAGGTCGAATTCGTGCTGCTTTGAACAACGCCGCGCCACGATGTTGGGGATGAGGAAGAGCATGATGACCAGAACAGTTGATCAGTAGTGATTTTACCGAGGTATTGCTGGTAACTGAATAGGTTCTCGTAGTTGGCATATTCCTCGCAGCTCAGCAATGCCTCATTCTGTGCTGCACACACCGCATTGGCATCAGCATAACTCGAGGGCGTGTTGATGAATAGAGCGCTAGGCTTGGTTCCATGAGATGTCCAGTTGCCGTCATTCTCGAAGAAGACTGTAGTATCATCGCTCCGTGTGTCGCCTGCAGCACGAGCGAAAGTCGGCCCACTGGTGGCAACGGCCGATGCAATAAACGAAGCTGGTGCCACCAGAACATTCAGAGAAACAAACATTCTGCTGTCCCACTAAGCAATGAAGTTCATGGCTTAGAATCAGTCGAACTGGGTTCAGCGGCACACATTGCAGCTTTATAGCCCAGAGGTATCTTGCTTTAGCCAGTGTGCTAGACCGGCATCAGGCTAATTGCTGTGATCCGTTGTATCCGAGTTATTCGCGCCATCATTACTTTACCTGCAGGGTGGCCCGATCTTGCTCAAGTATAATGCGGGGAACGGGCGGGGGCGAGTGGAGATGGGATGGAATATTGAGTGCACCGTGCGCCAGAATGATGTGTGGGGGTGAAGACATACCCACCCGAGCCCACATCTACAACATCCTGATAGGCTCGGTTCGCTATTATCCTTCAGGGACTCGGATCTGTCAATGGGCTGCTTGCTGTTAACATCCCGATCAAGGCAAGACTCCGCAGGGGCCAATGCAGACTAGAAATCTTGGTTTGCTTGATTTCTGAAGACGTAATATCGTAGGATTACGAGGTGGATGTACTAGTCCAGCCGAATCTGCCATCATCTCCGTAATAGTAGCTACGGGAAGATCTGATGACATGAGTAATCCCCCCAAAGAATTAACACCGGAAAATATATAACATCTACAAGCATCTAAATCGGGCATCCGAACCTTTTCTCATCATACAAACGAGTCGGTATTATTATCAGTAATCAATTGGAGTGAACCCATGGGCAATCTTCCAAGCACCAGTGACTGGATCACGCTCATTCCGCAAGTAATGCATAAAGCTTTGATCACGATACGGGCTCCATTTTGCGATTTCTTCCTCCGTGGTTCCTGGAGGGAAGCCGTCTTGGACGCGGAAGAGGTTTATGGGTCTGATCCGTGCCTCTTCCGGGACGAGTTCTGTGACTGCTGTCCCGGTATCCACATCCGAATCCACCGAGTATGGGCTGGCGACAAATTCTAGTCCTGGTGTGCTTGGTTGGCTTCCGAGATCCGAACCGACTGTGCTGCTGCCAAAGTCCTGGCAGTATGGGTATTGCAATTGACTCGTCGACTCCGGCAGTCCTTCAGATGACTTCATAGCCACTGCGCACACTTCCTCTATTGTTATAATTGTTTGCGACCACCTTGCCCCAGTAATAACCTTGTAGAATGCCTGCACTGCCGGTGCTTGACTTGCTAGGCTTAATGCTGTTTGTCGAAGTTTGGGTTCTCGGCATCTCAGACTCGTGAACCACAGGGGAATCGAGATGCCAAGTTCAAGCGAAAGTGGAGGTTGGGATCCGTCTGATCGAGCCGAAGCACCCAGCGCGACGTGAGACTGGTCCACTATGTTTTGAAATTGCGGAAGGTATGCGTCGTTTGCGGTCTCCAACTGACATGTGGAAGTGCCGATCATTACGTATAGCATCTCGTGATAAGCGAGAAGGAGGGCGCTAGTGCTTATTTGCTGCGGTGATAAAGACCCTTTCATATGCAAGGTTTCCATCAAGTCCGCAAACGCAGCGTACCACACCTTTAGTCTACCGAATAGAGCGAGGCGTTGGTTGATTAAGTCGCGAGGTGGATGGAATCCTTCAGGCTTCAGGAAATATGGCAGGCAGACACGCTGGAAGATCTGAGCCTCTGCAAGCAAGAGAACGAGGGCTTCGCGAGCAGATTTGAGGGAGGAAAACCCCTGTGTCAAGGTATGCTCAGCATCCGGTAGCAAAGCGCCGACCGGAACAGCGGAAAAGTTGAGCGCCGTTGCCCCAAGACGAATGAAGATCGGAACGATGATGTCCTCCAACCATGCAGTTTTGGATGACGATATGACCCCAGAAGCGATCTGAGCACGCAATGTGACGATAAGCTGCACGCCTTGACAGTAAAGCAAGGTAGCTTGTGCCGCACCACCCTGAAAACCTTCAATGCACATGAAGAGTATACAGCTGACCAGTCCGACCAGGACATCCCCGTCGCCGCGATCCAGTCGCTGACGGACCTGGGCCATTGAGCGGGAATACCAGCTGATGGCATCTCGATGGTACTGATTGAGGAGAACGGCATCTCTCTGACGTTGAAAGGCTATATCTGGACATGGCTCTGGGCTTTCAAACAGGGTGCTCAGGGAGATGATGGCATCCCACACGGCGGGTTCGCTGCGGCATATTTGGGGAACGATGGTACTCCAGAAGTCAACTTCTAACCCCCCGCCGATGAACAGGGCAATATGTTGGAAGTAATAGGCAAATGCGCGACGCTCCTTCCAGACTGTATCCGGTGCCGAGGACAGTGGCTTGTCGAGGATTGAAAAGGTCGCAGGTGTGGACGAAAATGTGCCTAGATTGGGGCCTTCATATTCGCAGTTACGGCCTGTCTTGCTGCAACGAAGACAACTTGGCTTTTCCTGACCACACTTGACTCTCCGAGCCCTGGAAATGATATTTGTAAGCTTATGTCGCGGTGATATAGTCTCGAAACACCTACTTGCAGGTTTTGCAACCCCGCCTCGATCTCAGGGGACCAATTACCGTATCCCTCACATGGGTGGAGGGAGAAAGACGCATGTTGCCAGCATTATTCTTGAGGTCTATCAATAAAATGATGCATAGCAGACATGTTAGCAGCACGACAGAGAATAACCGAGAGACTCAATGAGAGAAGGAATGTTGAAATGGCGGCGATGACTGATGAGGCGATAATCGGCCCTGACACGTGAGTGGCTGATTCATGAGAAATCAGTCACGTGGCGCTTGGCTAGGGAAGAAACATGCAGGCTACACCGCATGCAGTTAGTCTGACAGGCGTGCTGATGGAAAATAGGGGCAGATTAAAGATATCAGATTTGACCAATTTGATGTTTATCTTATCAAAGATTAGGTGCTTGGAGGGTAAAACTTCCAGTGGGGGCCAAAGCCGTAGAGTTCTGGTCAACCTTGGTTGGAACCATTTCATGTTCTGACATTACTTTTCCCGTGTTGTTACGAACGGCATTTGCTTTTCTACAGCCTGAGTCGTCGTTGCTTTTGTCTCCTTTTGTTCAGCGACTCACAATAATTCTGTTCTTTTTTCCCTCTATTTCCGGCCTGCCTTACAGCAGACAACCAAGTGAAACTGCAAATAAATCAACAAATTACAATATGGGGGCATGATCAGTAATGTGTTTGAGGCGAATCATTGCTATGGGAGCAACGAGGGCACAGACTGAGAAGCAGTTAAGACACAACGAGGTCACATGACCCGGATCGAACTCTACTGACTGCCGTGTATGCACCTCTCCTTCCAGTTGCCGTATCCTTCTTCGAAAGAGGCTATTATATGCTTAATGTATATAATGGACCAAGAATCCAATGCCTAGAGGATAGCCAGTAGCTGAAACCAGTAGAGATTCCCGCTCAAACATCCCTCAGACGGCAGAGAGTCGAGTGAACAGGTCAGATGAGGATAAAATGGCCGCAATATCCACCTATACGAGCACAAGACCTGTGCGATGACCTCATCAGCTCAGTCCAACCCAAGGAAAGGGCAAGATTACCCGCCTCGACAGAAGAAGGATTTTTGCCCGCATTCGTTGGACCAGCCCCGATTAGACTCCAAAGGATGTCATGCAACCAATCACCCACCAATCATGCGACGTGGGCGGTTCGTCCCGGGCATTGGATGCGGGGAAATCCGGGGTACATTATAGTCATTCCAGACCGGGAAAGTTACCCCATATTCCCCGCCCCTCCCCCCCGCGAGGCCAGCTTCAACCTAATCGGCGAATGCATATTCAACTGCGTAGCCGCAACCCTATATGGATCGGCAATTGACTCCGGTATAAATATGCCTACGCCCTTCTGGGTATGGGATGGTGGGTTGCTTCTCAGCTGATCCACACCCCCCATTCACTAGTAGCACATACATTGCATCTTAGTCTCCGGCAATCATGGCAGACAATGACACACCCGACCGATCATCATTCCAATTGAAGAAAGACCTCGCAACTACCGAGCATGATGAGAATGTGGGTGCGGTCGATTCGACCTCTGATCTGGCCTATGGCGTGGGCGGCATCCGCGGCCTCTTCCGCTCGTGGTATGTCTTCGGGTCGGCGACTCTGGCCTCGCTGGGCGGCTTCTCCATGGGATATGACATGGGTGTGATCTCTATCATCAACGTGATGGATCAATTCCATGCCGTGTATCCTCGTTCTGAAACTGCTTTCGGAAAGGGTCTCATGACAGGAATGTTGCTGCTAGGTGCCTTTGTCGGCTGTCTCTTCATGTCCTATCTAGCCGATCGCATCTCGAGAAAATGGGCCATCACAGTCGTCGTGGTGATCTTCGACATCGGCGCTATCTTGCAGACTGCAGCTGTGAACTACGACATGCTAGTTGCTGGCCGCTTCATCGGCGGTATAGGAGTGGGAACTCTAGCCATGGTACGTATACCCCCTCCCCTGCCCCCAACCATTATCCCTACCTATCAACATACTGACCCTACCCCCCTCTGGAGGGTGCACCCCTATACATCTCCGAAACATCACCCCCCGAACTCCGTGGAATCCTCCTCGTCCTCGAATCCATCTCCATCACCCTCGGCGTCGTCATCGCCTACTGGATCACTTACGCAACGCGCTACATCCCCAGCGAAGCCTCCTTCCGCCTCCCCTTCGGTCTTCAAATGGTGACCGCCACCCTCCTCGGCATCGGAATCCACTTCTACCCCTACTCCCCGCGCTGGCTCGCCCTCGTCGACCGTCAAGACGACTGTCTCTCCAGCCTCTCCAAACTCCGCGGCCTCCCACGCACAGACCCCCGCATCCAAGCCGAATTCCGCACCATCGTCTCCGAAGTCACCTACCAACGTGTAGTCCAGGACCGCCGCCACCCCGGCGCCACAGGTCTCAAACTCGAGCTCTTCTCCTGGCTGGACCTTTTCTCCCGAGGTACCTGGAAACGCGTCGCCGTGGCCTGCGGCGTGGGCTTCTTCCAGCAGTTCTCGGGGATCAACGCGTTCATTTACTACGCGCCAACACTATTTCAATCCCTGGGACAGTCAGACAGCATGTCTACCATTTTATCCGGCGTGTTCAACATTATTCAAGCTGTGGCGGCAGTGTTTTGTGCGTTCATTATCGAGGGGGTCGGGCGACGCGCACTAGCTATCTATGGCGCGTTTGGCATGGCCATAGCGTACATGATTATTGCTGTTTTATCCGGGCTGTACTCGGATGATTGGGCAAGCCATGTGGCAGCAGGCTGGGGGTGCGTCGCTATGGCCTTCGTGTTCATTCTGATCTACGGCGTGTCGTATTCCCCGTTGGGATGGGCGTTGCCGGCAGAGGTGTTTCCTAATGCGTCCCGGTCAAAAGGTGTCGCGTTGGCGACGTGTACTATCTGGTTATCGGACTTTATTATTGGGGTGGTGACCCCTTCTATGTTGTCGGATATCGGGTACAGAACGTATGTATTCTTTGCGGTGATGTGTACGTTGGCTGGGGTGTGGGCGGTGCTGTTGGTGCCGGAGACGAGTGGGAAGACGTTGGAGGAGATTGATGGGTTGTTTGGGGATGCGGGGGCTAGAGCGGAGAGGGAGATTGTTAGGGATGCCATGGTTGGGGCGGGTGATATGGGGGATGTTTAGGAGGTAAGTAAATAGTTTGTGTATGGTTTCCATATAATTTACAATAAATGTCGGTTAGCGACTCATATTGATTGTGGGAATAAGGAGTCAAGTCGAGTAATTCTTTTGCCTATGGAGACTGGAAAAGGTGTTCAACTCACGTCGATAGGACTGCTCAGGCAGTGTGTGGTATAATATTGCTGAAACATAAGGCTCTACACATGTACTACATAGGGGATGACATAGGCATTTAGTCACGCCCTATTGATAAACCTTGTCGAAGCACTAACCGCTAGACCAAAAACGATATATCGCGTGGTTCTAGCCAGGCGACGGAGAGATATGTGTCCCAACACGGCCCCCTCGAACCGGAGCTATCATAGCTCCACGTTCTGGTTTAGGCACCTCCTCGAACTGGATAGACTGCATGGGAAAAGCCAGGTTGACCACGCCTGGTCTCGAACCCGCAACTTCCAGATCTGGTTAAGGCATCACGTGTTGGTAAGAGCTGACCGGGCTCATAACCTCTTGAGGAGCGCTCTACAGAAGCAGCAACGAAAGCAATAACGAAACGAACAAACGGAAGCAAAAGAGTGAGTTGAATTGAGCTATCTAGGAGAGCAAAACAAAGCAACGCGAAGAGGTGCTTTGTGGGTGGTCCGAGCGCAGCACGTGACTAGCCTACATGAATGCCTCGACAAACCTTTTAGTCCATCATATTCCGTTTAAGAAAGGTCGCCCTTAGTTCAATAATAGGGTATTGTCATCATACGTTTGGGATAAGGGAAGAAGGTTTCAGTGGTGAAACGAGTGGATTATGATATTAAAGTTGTAGCGTTAACGAATGAATCCAATCGTATACTGGTAGGTATCTCAGATCGTGCAGTGCACATGGACACTACCCAGTAACACCGGCAGTCATTTGCTCAGACTCTGACTAACTATTCTCCTTCCATAATACCCACCCTTTCGACAGATAACCAATATTTGTCGTTATAGCGAGGAACAAGAAATTTTACCATCCTGCTATATATTCAAACGAGCGCACCATAGACAGATCATGCCGCCATTCCCCTCCTGCATGCTTACCATGGAAGATAGGCGGCAACTTAAACACCAGAGTCATCTTGGAATCGTCCTGTTCCGTTTTCCCAGCGGTTCGCCTTGTTATCATACCACGTCGCCCAATTCTTGCACCCGTTGTTTTTCTGATCCTCTGCAGTCTGATTATCCGCATTCTTGCGTTTCATTATCTCCTGGAACTTCTCTCTATCCTCGAGAATCTGCAAAGCCAGTCCACCGGAAGCATGCCAGGCAATGTGGCAATGGAGCAGCCAAGCGCCCGGGTTATCAAGCTTGAACGCAATCACTATATACCCACCTTTGGGTAACAAGACAACGTCGCGACGTGCCGGATTGTTATACTCTAGTTCAGTCTCTATAAACTTCTGCAAATCCGCGGTATGATTTCCATCGAATAATTTGTCGTCGAGTTTGGTGTATGATTGCTTCAGCAGAGCAAAGTCATGACCATGCAGATGCATCTAATATGGCATTATATTAGCGACAAACCCATGAGAGAAATTATATAGCAGCTTCAGCGGAAAGAAGGATGACTATAATTGAAGCACTTACAGGGTGTGCGGCAGGAACCGTCTTTTCTCCCAAGGGGGTTCCTGATTCTTTCGGTTGATGCGCGCCGTCTATCACCATGTATGCCCAGTTGCTTTCATTTCTTCTTATTTCAAATAACGCAGCGTTGGCTGGCCACGTGTGTGATCCGTTGAGGTGATTGATTGTCAGGTCTTTGTAGTCTACCCAGGCAGGATCATCGTGAATCTGCCATGCGCTCCATTTGGGGTCGTTTGTACCGTCATGCCCTTCTTCGGGTGGCATTGTGAAGTTGTATTGCTTTAATACCATCCAGGGTGACTGAACCTTTCTTAGTTGGTCTGGGGTTGGCGGCGGCACTTGCCATTTGACAACGGGCCTCAACACCTTGTGCTCCTCGTCCCGACAGTCTCCGTTGTATGGGGGTACATATGGAGTGGATATGGGATCATCGTGATTATCCTCATTGTAAACGAAAATACCCTGCCTCTCATTTGGTTTGAAGTTGAAATTGTGACAACCAGTGGCAGGCTGAGTCCGAATCCAGTAATTCCGGCACTCATCTATGGCATCGGCTTCCACAATTACATGGTACCGCTGGCCTAGACCGGCTGTGAGAAATGGAAATGTGAGAATATCGCTCTGCAGAACTTACCAATACCAATATATAGTGTGTCCTTTAGATAAGGAGTGATTGGCACCAAATCTCAGCGTTCCGATGACTGTCATCTTATGCTGATCGATACTGAAAATGAAGGCCGTATCGGTGGACGCATTGATCAGTCGAAGGAGGTATTTCTTGCCCTGTAAAACCCATTAGGATGAATGCGTGTTCATTTATCCAAGTGAAGAGTTTAGTTCACCTTAGTGACTTTCTTTGTCCTGTATCTTAGGTTCTGAAATTTGCCAGCCGCACTGCCTGTGATGCATTATTATCACCCCAATAAGATCACAAGGCTTCATCTACCCACCGTGATCATTGATAAGAATGGTATCCATGGGAATTGGTGGGTTGTGATTCTCCACCGTCACCCAAGTCCACCTCCCGAAGGCACCCTGGTGGATGCGGTCCGCCAGCATCAACGGTTCAAGGGCATCATCGTAGTCGACAACCGACGCAGGCCCGTAAATAGTTATTGGTCCAAGTAGGCCATCCGTGTATTGGAGACTATAGTGGCTATGGTACCACGTTGTGCCATACTGGGTTGCGGTAAACTCATAAGTGTAGGTGTCATTTTTAGCAATAGGACACTGGGTGACGCCCGGAACGCCATCGGAAAACCCAGTTTCGAACATGCGGATCCCATGCATATGGATTGCAGTCCCATTATACTGCAGGCTGTTCTTGACGTGGACGCCTAATCATCGTCAGCATGGTATTATGCCTGTACAACGACATGGCAACGCTTACGGACAGTATCGCCCCAACACGCCTCTATGAATACTTATCAGTCCCGGCAGCTTAAAGTCTCTTCAAAGAGGATACCTACCAATCCGACGACCAGGATATTCCCCATCGAAGTATTTTCCCGCCTCCTTTTTGACACCATCAGGTTCCAGCTCACCCGACTCGGTAACTGTAAAACTGTACTGTAGACTGTGTCACTCGAATGCTTCCTGAATCCAGGAGACAGGGCATCACTCACTTCCCGGACTATGCCCTTGGGCCATGTCGTCTCATAGTTCGTGTGAATATCGTAGGTTGTACCGTTGACATTAGGTTTAGGTTTGAGCCAAGTCCTCTGATCACCTCTAGGTAGAGCAACGTATGTATCACTCAGCCCTTCATACTCACAAGCAATCGCTGCGGCAGTAGGTGTGAATTTTAGTACTTTTGTGGGAGTCGGCTGCTCTGACGCTGGAGTAGTTGAGGATGGATAATTCACTTCCCCACCAGGCGGAAGTGGAGACTGCTGGGATGTGAACAAAGATTGGAAGCTGAAGAAATGGACAAGAGCTGTCCAGCAAGATTCCAAAAGCATCTTGACTCGAGTCACCGTCGGACTCCCGACAGCATCAATGGCCAGCTGACTGTCTTGACCAATTGATAACAAAAAGTTCCTCCCGCAGGGAGAGATGAGCAGTAAATAATTTGCACATTCTGGCTGTTAAGTCTACAGGTATGAGGTTGATACTTTAGTGTTTACGTCAAGGACTTCCTGCGCGAAGCGGCTGCCACCATAAGGTTGCATAATGTAGTAAAGAGTTGCGGATATATTATCCGGACACGGAAATCCCGTCTTCGATGAGCTGTCATATAGGGATTTTAAGCTGGCACTTGGCTCGATGGTGGATTGTTCCACTTTTAAACTTTTCCTCCAGAAAGCTTGTTGTTGCCCGGATTGTCTACGTGCCAGTGTAGTCTATCGGACGTTTGTGCAGTTTGCAATGGCATTGCGTCGGCAAGAGCACCAAAGCGAATATGTTACAGAAAGCATCGATCTGCAATGCTGTACTTGAGTATATATTGACATATGCATTAAGCGGAGCAATGGCCATCGCAAAGGATCATTGAGTGTGACTTGAAAATGGACGAGAGACAGTTGCGGAGATATCCGCACGATCCGAAGTTCAAGCATGAACACCTTCCGCATTCCGAATGACAGATGGGGCCGCGCAAGGAGATCCGCGGTAGGGTATGTAGCACAAGGTGATAGTTGCCCCGAAAACAATGAAAGGTGTTGTTGCATCGACGGAAAGGCGGTCTCGGCGCATGACGTTCAGACTTACCATGGAGTGTGAAATCCGCGGACATTAACTGCGAATTAGACATGAATTGGCACCAATTATTTACTGGACTGTGTGAGAAGTATGACGAGATGAGAAATGTGCGATCGGGATACGTGCTTATACGCAGATCTCGGGTTTGGCCATGAGAAAAACTCTTACGAGTCTTTGTCGTCATTGACAGTGAGGGAGACAAGGGAGGAATCGCCACGTTTGATTCATTCCATTTCCATCATTTTTTGGCATTGGTGATAATAAATTAGTATTCGCCCTTTGAACCCCACAAATATAACTGTACGGTATAGGGTTGGGGACGCTGCGTCTGCTGGATGGTGGTTATAATCCTTCTTCGATATCGGCCGGGTTCGTTCGAAAGTTTTTCAGTATACACTATGGCGAAGAGGATACTATAAGCCTTCTGTCGCATTCCAATGCAAAATAATGTGGTGATCCATGCAGGTATAGAATATCTGTTATATATATCAAACTCTTCTTTGGCTCCGAACTGATCGTCCGCCTGAACTCCTGGAAGGGGCGGATCCATTGCGCAAGCATCGATGGCATCAAGAACTGCATTAGATGCCCCTTCTTGCAAAAACAAAGAAGTAGTAATAAGCACAGAAAACACCTTGCCCGCCTCAAACATTTAGAAAACATGGATGAGATGAAGAGAGAAAAGTTCTGGTCTCATCATATTACTCTGTAAGGGGAACTCGGGTGCGATGATCTGGAACAATGGCGGAACGAAGATCATTTACAGGCATCCGAACTTTCAACAACAGCTGCTGCACGAGTAGCCTGAAATTAGTGCATAAGCTTGCTTACGCGTGTGGCGGATGATGGCAAGGCCCACGAGTGGGGAGAGCTGATGGCCTACTGTACGTGCTGTTGGCTGGGGGTCCCAGCTGGGTAAGATTTCGGGCGGGCCGACTGGGAAATGATGAGATGCTAGTAGACGCAACCAAAGTAACCAGCCGAGTGAAGTGCTGATCGTCGGATCCTAGCAACCTACTCCCCTAAGCCAGGGGCGTTACAGGACCCTAGGTGAGGTTCAGTTAGCCGGGTGGGGAGGTCAATGTGACTCTTAAGAACGCATGAGTGGCGGCTGGATTGAGGATCTCCACCTGTGGATCAGATGCAGGGTATTTGGTCGGAGAGGTAAAATGGTTCGTTGAAGTGGTGGCCGGGGATTTGTTGGTGGGATGTCTTGATGCTGCTGGGCAAGCCGTTAGAGAGACCAGTTGCTCTGCTGAGCGGAAACTCGATGCGGTAAAAATAATCGAGGGCTTGTGCCGGCTGTAGCCAACCGGGAAGATCTGCATTGCGCAAGTGTTTCGAATGTCATACTGAGCTAAGCCAATGTGACATCAAGGAAGTGAACCCGGACGATCTATGAGTTTCTGAACAGGATACCTTTCCACAGATAATATGAAAACAGAGCTAGGCGGTATAGACACTTTGTAACTGGCAATACCAATTCTGCTCGGTTCGAATCAGTCGAATATCCTTATTGTCCCGGGTGTAGCCACGAGATTGTGGTGGATTGGAGCACGTGAACGATAGCAAATTCTGACTTGGCCTCTGACTACGAGGAAAGGCATAATAGCAGGTCCAGGTGAACTCTGGTCCAAGCCAAGCCGGAATCAAGCCATCCAGCTTGGCAGCAATTTGCACTGGACAGAAATTATTTTACCTGATAATTGGCTAGTGCAGAGAGGTCCAACAGGAGCCCGCATCGACATTCTGACACACATCTCACACACACTGTTCTGTCTCGGCCAATGACGGCACCTCCGTCGCTGGACAATCAATGTAGTCTAAAGTGGACGGGCGTAAGAGATGCAGCATGATGCGCACGAGGGATTAAGCCTGGGCTGGGAGTGGACCAAGGGGTTCACGGAGGTCCGACCACCATGAGATTAATTTCCGATACGTTGTTCCTGGCCTTCCTAATATGATCGGACCAAGGAAGAAAACATAGAAAGTCAAATTGAAAAAAGAAATGACAAGCCGGGACAAGATAGACAAGGCCAGACAAGCAACAGAATACGAGATAATTCTCATGGTTGACCCGTAAGAGTCCAACAGCCAAGGTAGCCTGGGGCACGTGGTGCCAAGAAAGCTTGGCCTCTCTCCGGCCGGCGTTGCAGCACGTGCCCCCATCGCGCCCTCTCATTCCCCGGTTGCGATACACACCATCTGCATCATCCCGGTTGACTCGAGGGGGTGCTATTGTCCAATCCCCTTTGCATCCCGGACCATGCCGACGGCTCTGTCAGTCTTGAGGTTACACTGACCATGCTTCCGCCTTCTGGAAAAGAATACTCAATTTCCTCTCGAGTCAGATACACAGGCAGGACACATTCCAGCTTAGCCTCTGCATGACGTTAACCCACCTTTGGGTCCAGCTTAAAGGACCTCATGGCTCAGGGCCACCCGACGACCTACAGTTTCGGTTTGCGCCCTTAACTCGCCCCTTTCATAGGCCATCATAACTGAGGCCATTCATCATCACCAGCATGGCACTAGTACTAGTCTGGTCGGACGGGGCCTGGCTGCCCCCACCCATGCACACCCACTGCCCCCCGAATTGACCCATCGGCCCGCTCGGGGGACTAGGTACCATTGTATCCAGTCCTCCGTACACCCTCTTTTTTGCCTTCAGCTAGACATGGTAGCCATGCTAGCGTCCAGCTGCAGTGGCCTGTTCGACTCGCTTAAGGCTGTCTGTCGCGCGACACCCTCTCGCCAACCACGTGCGGCGATATCATGGTCCCCCTGGCCAACCACAGCCGCTCTCTGCAGAACGTGCTGGTGCTATTCCTTCGAGATGCATAGATCGGTTGCTGCGCCTGTTAGCTGACAGGCTGACAGCTCGAGACACACACCTGCATGCTATTCTCCATCCCCTTCTTGATACCACTTAAAAAGGCGAGGGATCGCCGCTCGTCTTTGCTGACCCTGCTTGCCATCTGCATCTCAAGTTCAGACCATCCTTATCTTTCTTGCAAGTCCCCTTCATCCTCTCTCTCTGTGAGGAATCCTCTGCAGATATGGCGGACTTTGGCCCTCGTGCTCCTCACGGGCCCGACATGAACGGCAAGCAGGATTTTGCCGAGATGCATCCCAATGAGAAGGAGGGCTTCGATCGCCTCCTCCGTCCCGATGACAGCTACACGGCCCAGGGTGTCTACTGGGCCGACCTTCCCATTGGGCAGCGTGTCAAGTTCGTCACCTCGGTCGACAACAAGGAGCGTAGCCGTCAATGGTCGGCTCTCTGGGCTGAGATCAAGAGGGATCCCCTCTCCCCAATAATGGGCTACTTCCGCAACACCATCATCCCAGGTGCTGGTATTGGTTTGGAAGGGTATAGTTACCCCATATCAACTGATCGTCATTAGTTCTTTCTAACGCACGTGCCACAGTTACGTCCTCCTGTCCATCGGAAACATCTCCACCCTCTTCCAGCATTCTTTCTCGACTTGCTGGGATAGTTACGAAATCTGTAATAAGCAGTGGATCAACGCTATCACCTACCTCGAAATCGTCGGTATAATAATCGGTCAGGTCCTCGTTGGTGTCATTGGTGACTGGGTGGGTCGTCGTTGGGGTTTGCTGCAGGATGCCTGGATCATGTTCTTGGGCCTGGTCATGTTGACTTGCGCCTGGGGTGTCACACAGAACGGCTGGGTGATTTGCTATGCTTGGTCCCTATTCATCTACGGCATCGGTGTTGGTAAGTTGTACCTTTCCGCTTTTCATTGGCGACACCAAAGCCTCCTCCCGAATACCGATTAGCTGACTCTTCTTAGGTGGTGAGTACCCGATGACTGCTACCAGTGGTATGGAGAATGCGGTTGGTTCCGGCAAGCTCTCTACTCGCGAGGATCGTCTTCACCGTGGTTCCAAGGTCGTTGGTGTGTTCTCCATGCAGGGTTGGGGTCAGGTCTTGAACCAGGCTATCCTCATGATCTTGCTTCTTATCTTCAACGCTGGTAGCGGAGAGGAGCCTATCAGCCAGACCAACACCCAATGGACCTACCGTATCTCCTTCGTCATCCCAATGGTTGGTACCTTCTGGCTCATCTACTACCGTGCCTACCACATGAAGGCTGCTAGTAAGCAGCTTGCGGCCACCAAGAAGAAGAACTCGGTTACTGGCTACGACACTGAATCACTCCGCCTCACTTTCAAGTATTTTACCCCCCGTGTTTTGGCCACTGCCGGTGGATGGTTCGCCAACGACGTCTTCTTCTACGGTGCCAAGCTCTTCTCCAGTGATTTCATCAAGGTTATCAGCCCCAACACCAAGTCCATCTTTGTTACCTGGCAGTGGAGCTTTATCAACTGTGTTGTCACCCTGATGGGCTACTATGCTGCCATTATGCTCGTGGACAACAAGCTCTATGGCCGCAAATGGATGCAGATCATGGGTTTCTTGCTCTGCTTCATTGTCTACGTGGTGCCGGCTTTCCACTACCACTACTACACCCAAGCCGCCCATATCCACTCCTTCCAAGCCATGTACTTCCTGGGCAGTTTCTTCAACCAATTCGGCCCCAACTGCATTACCTTCTTGGTGGCTGGTGAAGTCTTCCCCACTCCAATCCGTGCTACTGCCCACGGTATCTCCGCTGCCTGCGGTAAGCTGGGAGCCTTGTTGGCTGCTATCCTCTTCAACTATATCGATACCCAGACCAAGTTCTACTTTGTGCCCTGGTGGGGTATCTTCGGCATGTTCCTGACTTACTTCTTCCTCCCGGACACCACCGGTCTGGATCTCAAGGAGCAGGAGCGCCGCTGGAGATTCATTCGCGAGGGTCGCGAGAATGAGTACCACGGTGTTGCCATCCATCCCAAGCACCTGTCCCTGTGGGAGCGCTTCCGTGGTGTTGGCAAGTACTACGACCCCGAGCTGGACTACCAGCAGCGCGTCGAGGAGTACCGCTCTGAGTGGGAGGCCATCATGGCCCGTCGCAGCGAAGAGACTAAAACCAGTGACGATGTCGACTTGGCTTTCGTCGAGGATGACCTCTTGGAGGGTTCCGTTCACAACTACTTCCATCGCACCAGCTCTTTCACCAAGAGCCAGAGCGTTGAAAAGGTCACTGAGGCCGAGCCCTCGGAGTAAAAAGTCATCGCAGCATCTAGTTTTGCGCCATGCCTCGCAGGCATGGAATGGATATACCCACACATACCCCCTTATATATACCCGTCGCTCATACGACTTCATATTTGCCGCTGGATAGAGATTTCTTCTAGCTTACCTTATACTATCTAATCTCCTGTTTATATACATTCGATGTCTGGACGGTTGAACGAGCAGCTGAGACATGAATCTATTTATATACTTTTCTTTATTGTGCTTAATTCAACACGACTCGGCTCTATCCTGTTGTACCTAAAATGGCTACTATTCTCATATAAATGTATTCTCTTCGTATAACTCCAAGATTTCAAAGTAGAGCTGCCGGCAATAGTATTGTTGCAGCAGAGGTTATAAGCCCGTTGCACCCTATGCTGGACATTCGTCTTTATAAAACCCCAACATCTACCCTCCAACTGGGAAATCCGTCCCTCCCCAACACCTCCCCACAATTAAATCCCCGTACCTAATTCAAGCCAAGAATCGTGACAAGCTCATTCCCGATCTGAAGCCGCACGTGGCGCAAACTCACTCCCATGCCAATGCTTGGCTCCTTGCCTCCACAATTCTTGGTACAGCTTGGCCGGATGGAACCAAGATCTTGGCGAGATGGCGGAGAATAGAGTTTGTGCAGTATAGCTTTTACATTTGGACTTGGCTGGCGGGATTCTGGGATGTGGTGGATTGCTGAGGCTAATCTTGTTGTAGCTGCTTTGGGTAGAGGTTATTGGTGTGTAGGCGATGGAAGGAGAATGGGTAGTCTTGGTGATGTGATGGTGGGTCAATTTTATCGGCGTCGAGTCCAATACCAGAGAATGCAAATTAGTATTTGCACATAATTATTGTCTTGGTAATATCTACGAGGTCACCAAAGATCTCATGGCCGGATAATGGCTTCTCAAGGGACTCGGGACTCGCAGCTGGAAACGGCCTTGATGCCTCAGGTATTAAGGCTTCTAGCACTAAGCCTAATCTAGAAACCGTTCATCCGTTTAAGAACAAAATCCTCGATTCTGGTCTGACTCTTGGCCAGCTCGAGTCACTAAAACATCGTTTGGAGATGTTGGAGAGCTTTATGCCCCAGCCGCAGGTTACCAAAGCGACATACAAAAGAGCGCAGACCCCACCGAAGCAAGGATTGCTTTGGGAGCCGAAGGTGAGCATGATGCACCCATTGTCAGATGATGATGATTACCAATACATTCAGGCCAGACAGTTGACAATTCTCGATCTCTCATCTCCGCGCATATCTCCTGGTACGGCGTGGTCACGTTTCAACATCACGCTCGCCATCTTCATGGAGCAAGAGAGCGACATCGGGCGGGTCCTTGCACTTGATGAAGCACACAAGGTTAGCACCCTGCTTATTTTCTCGTTGAAGATTACTCCTAACAGTCGATATAGTACATGAGGACCTCTTCTGAAGCACAGGCTTTTGCAGAAACGCTTCTCTCTGTCGTCTGCCCCCAGCGTCACCTCGCGGCCAGAATTATCATCTCAACCCAGGACCCTACGGTATAAACGGACCTGCTCAACCTCTGCACCGCAGCCGTTGTTCACCGGTTCACCTCCCCCGAGTGGTTCAAAATTCTGCAGAAGCATCTGGCGGGTGCGGCTACTAATCCTTTCGCTCGGAAGAAGGGTAAGGCTGGAGGTAGAGGTACTGATGGCGAAGAAGGGCAGCTCGACGAAGCAAACGAGAAGTCCTTGTTTGACCACATCTATAATCTTCGTGTGGGCAAAGCCTTGCTGTTTTCTTCGAGCTCCATTGTAGACGTTGCGATTGATGAAGAAGGCGGCTACGAACTTCGCAGGCTGGGGTCAGAATATCTCGCCTTTAGGGTCCGGCAGAGAATCACCAAAGATGGGGTTAAAGGTTTGCTCGCGGTTTGATCTCTTGGCTTGTAATTATCATCGTGGTGGCTTTGTAACATACGTCGTTGGAATTTCTTGGGTTTGATGGAATGCCTATGAAACTGAACATGCTTTGGTGGCATGGCACAGAAATATGTTATGAAGATCCGATTGCTAGTAGTTCAAGTAATGTGGATACAAGGAGCTTAATGCTCCAACAATCCAAGCCACCTTCTAATCATCATTATAATCTTCTCTAAGTCATTAACGTTGTAATAGACAAGATCTCTCTATAGCACAACCAGTTTAATTCTCGTACCGCTAGCAGCATATAACAGAAACCCCCGGGCGTCTACTTATCTCGTGGCGTTCGGTTGTGATGGTAACAATTGTAGGTAGTTCAATTACTAACTCTTGAAGCTCTTTGAACCGCATAACTTCAGGGAAATCAATAATAAATTCACAATCAAGCAGAACCCAGTCCCCCTTTGCGCCGTCTATCCCTATCATAATACAAAAGGTCATTACAGTCGCATAAAAGTACAATGGTATATACAGTCATAAGTGATCCAGATATTCCCAGCACTCTCATTATCATATCATCAAAAGAAGAAGTTAAACATCGTTGACGACTTTGTCCTCGGTGGTGGCACTCTCCCCGGTATCGGCAGCACTGCCCAGTTGCCGACCGTAGGCCGACTTCGATCCATACTGCTCGTCATGGCGCTGCGATAGGAAGAGGATAACCGTACTATCGTCCATTAACATATCTTCCGAAAAGAAGTGAAAGCAAGAAGAGTATACCTAACAGTCGTAAATACCCAACCCGGCCAAGCCAGAACAGCGGATGCGATCGCTCGTGGGTTCGTATGATATTCTATTCCTCCACGTTAGCACGAAGCAGCACTCTACGACATTATAAATGCGAGACATACTCAAAGCAGGCTTCTTCATCGATTCCTCCCAAAACTTCCGCGCCGTTGACGCATCCGTTCCATCGATGCGGGCACTTCCCGTCGCTGTGATGATCTATCCCCATTGTTAGCCCTACGTCCATCTCAAGCCCATTTCCAGCTAGCAATCATACCGTCATAGTCAACGCCGAACTCAGCATCATGACCGACACAATCACGGCACAAATCTTCCATGCCAACCGGACAGAGCGACTCTCGTGACGTTCGGGCCAGAATAAATCGAAGAAGAACGCTCCACCGAATATGAATGCGACGGCGATTCCGACGAAGATGTTGTATGATGCGGCGCCGATGAAGTCGTTGTTGTAGACGTAGATTCCGGGATGTTGGTTTTGGATTTCGTCTTGTTGGTCGAGGTAGTCTATTGACATATTCAGTTAGCATTTGCGAATCTTTCACTGGCAGTGGGCAGAAGGAATGGAGCGAACCAGACAACGCCGCCGTCCCAACCGATTCTGAGCAAACACAAAAAATCATAGCCAGCTGATAGACAATCATCTTTGTGCGACGGAGATGATATATGCGGGTGAACATGTAGGAGCTCTTGAATTTGCTCCATTGCATTTCATGGAGATCTAACCCCCAAATGACTGCCATTATTGATTTTTCTTAGATTGGAAATGAAGAGGGGAATAGGTATGATGAGAATATGGAAGTGCTATTCTGTCCATCATTTTTCTTATAAGAGGACATGCTAAGTAGACAAAGAATGAAGGCAGGGACCACGTCAGGGCTGCATTGATAATCTTGTTTTGTCAGGGTCGGCGGAAGGGCGATCCGTGACGTCAGGCGGGTCCAGCCCGGTTCCACTGCTTTTTTAACACTGTCATTATTGTTTCTGCATTCTGCAACTTTCATTGCAGCTACCAGCTATCTACCGCGCTGGCATCCATCATTGGCTTACACGTGCTGGTGGCGTTCCATGGCGCTTCGCTTATGCTGATGTCGTCGTTGTTTGGTAGGGCTTCTGGATGGGGCCCTCAATGGGGGGGGGGGGTGGTACTTAGTCTTCTTCATGGGGGCGAATGCAGGGCCGCACTCTGGGTTAGTTCTATTTGAAGTAGAACCAGTCAGATGGAAATATAATTATACAAAATTGTAAAAATTATAGACAAGGTATAAAAGCAATTTTAAGCATGTTCCCAACCATACTGCACCAGTGGATCTGGCATCTTGGCCACCAGGAACAATGTTGCCATTTCCGGCGATTGATTATATCATCATCCTGGTCTTATGTGAACCAGTGAAATTCATCGTCTCAGCAGTGTCGGACAGGGGATGATGAATGGGATCGATCGGCCTCGTAATTATCTCGGCAATGATGTCAACGAGTTGGAACATCACCGAGATGTGACGGACCTTTGCGGTCTCGGCTTTCCGCGTCAATCAAATCCGAGATCGGAAATACGGAGATTATCAACTACAGCGTATGTATGCTCCATCAATGTCACGATGTGTTTCTCTGATTCTGTAACTGAACATATCAACTTCGGGCTACATGAACGACAGCGAGCGACAAAAATCCCTCGTCACCTCCAGCACCAAATCCACATGCTCCCGTTGATGCACCAGATTGACTGCAAACGATCCCCGATGCGCCATATACACGCCCCCTTCCAACTGATAGAAATAATAGAGATCCCGAATCATGTCCCCCTTCTCCCCCAAAAATTTCACTCCCACTGTACTCCCTATTCCACTAACGACCACATCAAGCCAAGCACACCACCTTTGATCAAATATGCGACGTAATCCTTCCCTCAAATAATCTCCCAGATCATTCGCCCGCTCCAGCGCCTCCCGACTCATCAGATTAGCCGCTACAACACCAGCCGTCATTGAAAACACATTGTTATTCCACGTCCCAGTATGGAATAACGACTGCTCTGCTCCCGGCTTAAACAACCGCATAATCTCCTTCTTCCCGCCAAACGCACCGAACGAGAACCCGCCGCCGAAGTGCTTCCCTAAAGTCGTCATATCCGGTACAATACCGTACCGTTCCTGAAGTCCGCCATAGCAGAGTCGTGATGTGACGACTTCGTCGAAGATGAGTACTGCCTGCAGCCGGGTCGCTTCGTCCCGTAAGAATTGCAGAAAGGGGATGTCAGCCGGGATCATCCCTCCCGCCGCCTGCATAGGTTCCACGAGGATGGCAGCAATGTCGGAGGTGAGTTTTGCTCGGGTATCCGGGATGTCGTTGTAATTCGCTATAATAAATTCGTGGGGAAGGTTGAGGGCGGTGTTAGCCCCGAAGGTGAGCGTGCCGCCGTGATAGCCGTTTTTGAAGACGAGGATCTAGGGATGTCTTAGCTTTGAGCCAGTTGACTAGGTATAAACAATTAGGAAGTACCTTCTTTCTCCCCGTGAATGCGACTGCAACCCCCAAAGCAAACATATTTGCCTCCGTCCCCGAATTACAGAACCGGATTGCGTCTATACTTGGGAACCGCGAGATAAGAAGTTGCGCCAGTTCACCCTCTTTGCTGGTAACACCGCCCAGCGTGAACCCTTGCTGCGTGACAGTTTGCATGGCCTCAATGATGGCTGGATGCGAGTGCCCAAACATGCCTGCTGTATATTCGGAGACGAAGTCTATGTATTCGTCTCCGTCTAGTGAGGTGAGATAGCAGCCATGTCCGCCGCGGAAGACGAGTGGGTGCGGGATGTGAAAGAGCACACCGCGCGAGGTGCCATTGGGGATACTGTTTTCAGCTGATTGAATGGCTGCGCCTGATTTTAAGTTCCTAGCGCGGAAGATTTCAATGTGATGGCTCAGGGAATTGTTTAGAATTGTGGCTAGGGATTCGTCTGACTGGTAGGCCATGGTGGTGATGTTCTATTTGGATTGTTAGAAACAAGTATCTAACAAGTAGTTCTAAGTATAATTTTACCGAGTATAGTGTGTGTTAAGAATGATTGGGTCTGATAGCAGATGAGGTTAGAGAGGCTTGGGAAGTGCTAAATTGCATAATGTGCCGTGCGGGGTTGAGACCGTCGAGATAAGCATCGGCCGATCAGTGCTGATTCAAATTGACGTTAGTGTAGATGCAAGAGATATATACGTCTCACAGTTACTGAATGCATGTAGAACTGATAATCAGAAGACACACTGATTTGTACCGTTCCTCATAGCAAGCTCTTACCCAAAAAGGAAATTCGTACGGCCTCACAGAAAGTCACGAAAGATCACGTGACACTTTGTGTCACGTGATGCATATAATTGAACGTTCCACAATCCGTTTGTTGCACTGCCTTCATCGATTTATCAGTATAAAAACCTTAGTAGGACGTACATCAAGTCCAGAGTTAGGATACCTTCTCTGCACATCCCTCAACGGCTGTTAAACAATCAACAGCCAAAATGCCACCATGGCGGACACCGCGAGTCCTTCTCACAGACTTTACCTGGCCAAACAACATCCCAGAAGTCCCAAGTGACCAGATATTACCAACCCCTGTCCATTATTACCTGAGATTGTTCTCTCACTCATGCTGTAACTGGGTCGGGATGTCCTTCAACAATCAAATTGCTTAACTCCCCTTTGGGTTACTTCTGAAATGGTCTGACAGTACCCGCATAGAAGAGGTGTTGACTATGAAAGTTACCAGACAAGCAGGCCTTCCAGTCCCAAAAGTCATTTGCTATAAGGACCGTCCGGATACTCCTTACGCACCAGTTCCGATCCTGATGACCCGTGCACCCGGCAAACAGCTAGGTGAAGCCTACAAAGCACTCAATGATGAAGAAAAAAAACTCGATAACGAGACAACTTGACCTCTATCTGAAATTAATCCGGAAGTGGAAGAGACCCTGGGGCGGGAAGAGAATCTGCTCCCTCATTGGCACTCCTATTCGAAGTACCAGGGTCCCAGACCACCGTATTGGCCCATTCGAGACAGAGAAGGACTTCAACGAGTATCTCATTGAACCTGGTTCGCCGGGTGAGTTCCGATCGAAGCGGGAGTACAAAGAAGCCTTGCGATGCAGGGTATATCCCATCCAATCGTTTTCACTCACGGGGATTTGCAATATTATATAACATCAAGGTACAGGATGGTCGCATCACAGGGCTTTTGGATTGGGAGGCTGCTGGCTGGTATCGCTTGATTTTGACTGTAGGTGGCATGGATTATATGTTGAAATTGGAGATTGCACGAGCTTTGACGTCTTTAACTAGTGAGTCTTGTTCTTGGTGAGTAACTTGATGAGTTCCGACGCAAAGGGCTACTGGGGCAAATGCTACTTTCATCATGGCGGGCTATCACAGCTGCTTAATGAAGTGACAAGAAGAACGGCCTTGGCAAATCACCTATAAGCTTGTGTTGAGGAGCCGATTCACTGGCTCGCTGCATTAGATAGTCGAGATAATCGCAACACACCAAGCACTATAACATACTCTTTTCACGTAGCCAACCACAGTACCACATACTCTACGCAGCACCAACATTCTCCACCCTCTCCGTCCCACCCTTTCCGTCCTCCGTCCGCAACTCCACCTCCACCCCATCATGCCCATCAACCACCTTCTTCTCCCCCAAAACATTCACATCCGTTGTCCGATGTCCATCCAACAGCTTCCGACTCACCGTATTGGCATAGATGGGGAATATCCACGCGAGGACATAGAAGGCCGTCGGGATCGCCATGGCCTTGTGAAAGTTGCCCGTATGGGTGGCCACAGCTCCAGTCATGGGCGGGATGGCAGCACCACCAGAGATAGCGGCTACTAGCATACTGCCGCCGCGCTTGGTGTGTTGGCCTAGACCGCGTAAAGCGAGGGTGAAGATTGTGGCGAAGCAGGCCTGTATTAATTTAAATTAGTATGGGGTGGGAGTGGAGGTGAGTGCGGGGCGACGTACACTTTCAAAACAAAGCACGAGAATCAACATAGCCACGCTGGTAGGACCAGATGTGGTGGTTGCGGCGACGCCGAATATGAAGCACAGTCCTAGGTATGTGGCGAGGATGTAGCGGGGTTTTACCCCGACGGTGATGAGGCCGCTGGAGACGAAGCGCATGAAGGTGTATAGGCCCTGGCCGACGGCGAGGAGGTCGGCTGATGAGATATTAGAGCCACCATCGAGTCAAAGTGACAAGGAAAGGAAGAGAGAGACTTACATGACTTGGCAGCACTATACCCCGCCTCCTCGGCGAAATTGATGAAGTAATTCGCAACAGCCACCTGCGCCCCGGTATAGCAGAACTCACTCCACACTCCAAGGAACAAATTGTACTGTTTCCTGAACGGCCCAACATCCGTCTCGGAGATATCCCGCTCCTGCAGACCCATGTCCGCATCGGTCACCTCCGGCATGGGCGCGATATAGAAGAGCGGGACAAGCAGGGCCACGAAGCATGCGACACCCAGGTACACCCATTGCACGTTCTTCAGTCCCTGTTGTGTATCGACGGTGTTGGCGAAGAAGACGCGTGAGGCGAGAAGCGGCGCCACGAATGTTCCCACGCCTTGGATACCCTGCGCTAGGTTCAGTCGAATCTCGGAGTATCGAGGGGGGCCACAGATAGCAAGGAAATTGTCGGCTCCGGTTTCGAGGGTCGAGAGGCCGGCGCCGACGACGAACATGCTGCCGCAGAAACCTCCGAAGGAAGCCTTGACGCCGCTGGGCCAGAAGAGGAGGCAGCCGATTGTCATTACGCATAAGCTGTTAGAGTTGGGGTTAGTTGTGGAAGAAGAAAGGCCTATGGTGGTCTTACCCAGTCATGAAGGTTACGCGGAAACCGAATCGGCGGAGAATCCATCCCGAGACCGTTAAGGGACAGAGAAAGTATGCCCCAAAGTACGCAGCAGATAAACCCGATGACATGCTTGCGGTGATGTTAAGTTCATCTTGGAAATGGGAGTTGAGGGTATCGAGGAGGCCGTAAGCAAAGCCCCAGAGGAAGAAAAGAATGGTTACTAATGGGGGCAGAAATGTTAGTTAATTGCCAGATCACACAATATGATGGGGACCTCGTACCGAGAAAATTAGGGAAAAGGGACTGTCTGAGCGTGATGCCCGAACCATCAGTAATGGCCCTGTCATCGATTGTGATGCGGCGTCGCCACATGTTGGGCTATGGCGGAAGAAGGAGCAGTAGCGCGGATAACTGAAGAAAAGGGGACAGCTGTGCATCCGGGGTGCGAAGACCACGGTGCAGCCCTAGGGAAAAGCGCATCCTTTTATCCAACCTGCATCTGGAGAAGCCCAAGCTTCTGGAGCTTCGGGATAATCAAGACCGAAAAACAAGCCATGTGCTCGATCAGAAGGCTCGAGAGCTGCTGGAAAAGTTGAGCAATCCATAGGGAGTGGCCCAAGCCGAAGCCAGACCAGGGTCTCTCGACAACTGTTGGTTATGAAACGCCACAAGCAAGGCGGATATGCCATGGCCAGCCGCGTGGCCCGCAGACCGCATCCAGTCGGTGTTGGGATTGGCTGCATTGTTGGGTTGGGGTAAAAGCGAGAAATTGGCTATTAATTTAGGTTTTGCGGGGTTGGACCCCACTCGTGCGTCCAGGGTATCTGGGGGAAACTCATCTCTAGCTTTACCTGTACCTTAAACAAAGCCTTTTAAATATATCAGTTTGACATATGTAGTTCATTGGTTCTATAAGCGACAACTCGGTATGTACAATTCTCGTACAATACAGCCAGATTCAACCTCTGACGGCATGGATATCAGTACATGACCCGCCAGACACATGGACCTCCAAGCCGTCCTTGCTATCGATCTGTTGTTCTCCATTTACTGAATACGACTTGATATTAAATGGCACCCTGACAGTACCCTCTGTACCACTAGGGCCACACACGCTCAGCTGTACGCTTGCCCCATTTATCCGCCAACTAGCCTGGATCGCCCCATGAGGAGTGGGCACTCTTCCCCGTGCCCATGAAACATTCACATCCAACATTGCGGGACGGAATTCCCACTCGGAAAATCCAGCCGCAGTCGTCTGAACACCGAGCACATATTCCGAGAGAACGTACGTCGGCGCAGCTGCCCAGGGGTGTGCATGCGACGTGTAGAGGTCAAGCCCGGGTCGGCCATCAGGGTAAAGGTATTCCCAAGTTGTACCAGTATAGTATTCATCCTGGGTCACCATCGCAGCCCAAAGTTGGTCAAGGAGCACGCTGATAGCGGTAGATCTGGCCTGGCTTGAGTTGGGGCTATTGCGACTCTCCTGCAAAATTGATTCTAAGAGGAAACCGGTGAGAAAAGGCGCAAGATTAGTTGTTGATGCGTTGGCAACGGAGCTCGACGTTTTGTAGCCGATTCCAAGCCGAAGAGAGGATAATGCCGCGAGGGAGGTTTCTGCTTGCGTGGCATTGGTGACTCCCGCAAGAATAGCCCAGGCAGTGCCGGTGATAGACTGCTCGGTCAGGTTGCTCAGGTCAGTCGCATAGTATTCCAAGCGAGGATTCCAGAGCCGTTGGCTGATCGCAGCTTTGACTAAAGTCGCGGAATGACTCCACATTGTCGCGACATCTGTCTCATTCATCGCGGACGCTACATCGGCCATCTGGTCGAGTGTGTGGGCAAGTAGCCCCGATACTGCAGTGCCATTGTCGGGTCCCGAGAAAAATCCCCCGACGTCGGTGGCGACGGCCAGTCCAGATTGACCATCGATCAATGGCAGGATAGCTGCCACACCCTTCTTGATCTTTGTCCAATGTTTGGCCACAAACGCTTTGTTGCCAGAGTTTCTGTAGTGACCAGCAAATACGTTGAGAAGGAAAAGCTGGTAATCAAGAAGTCCGAAAGAAGCATACGTGTCAACATATTTCGCCGACTGGCCCATGGCAGGCGACATGCTTAAGTAGCCAGCGTACTGCGACGAGTCCGGTGCCTGACGGTCAATCCAGTATTCTAGGGTTTCTCTTATAAAATCGGAGCGATAGGTGCTGGACTGGATGACGCGATAAGTGTGTACAAAATCACCATTCCAGACAAGACGGTCCCTTTTCGCGCCATCTAGACAGACGGTGTGCTTATTGGCCATCACCCCATATTCCTCGAGGACAGAGCTGAGCGTCATTGAATTCTGGTACAGCTGGGTACCATTCTGTGCATGGACCTCAACATCCTTGACAAGAGCGATTTGATCCTGGTATGGCCCAAACCCCCAGGTACCGCCTGTCAGACTGCCAGAGCCAGTACTACCAGATACGATTTGCAGGTCATCCAGTGCCACAAATGTCTCGGTTCCATTGATGATAACAGTGTATCCGGTCGCATTGATAGAAGTCGAGATCTCATACCATTCTCCCTCCTTAATGTTGAAAGGTAAGGTATAATGGTTCACTTTTCCGGTGGTGAGAGAGGTCTGATTCACCAGGTTCCACCCGTAACTGACAGCTAGTGTGTTTGCAGGGACGATCGTTCGATTGGTATTGACAAATGTCGACCCAGCAGGGTATTCACTGGTAAGAACAAAATAAGGACCAAATCCGCCCACACCAGCGGCGACCTTCCAGCCTGTTCCTCCACGGATAATCTTGGTCTGGAAGGTCATGGTGTAGTTTCCGAAGGACGCTCCTTCCACTGATTGAGCAGGTTGCTGTCCACGAAGAAACACTCCTTCTTCAGTGACTTCCCACGTTGATGGTGCGGTATCTGCAGCAATGCATGCTTGCTGGAACTGTGCGTGGCCCTAAGGCCCATATTTCATTATACACACTGTTTGAGCTCTCGAAAAACCCTGGCAGTTTGTTTACCGGAGTGCGGTCATTTCCAGATTTGATACCAGCCTCGCATATGCGAACACTGCCATCTGTGAGGAGCTTGAGGTTCTGCCAGCGAAGGCCCCCTTGAATGAAGAATGATTCCACCGTCCCGGGTGAGGTGACATTGAATGTTTCGACGCGGAAGGTATTAGAGAGACCGTTGGAGAAGGTCCATGGGCCATCACCAAACGACTCGTCAAGACCGGTCTTGGATTCGGTGTACTTGGCCTCGATCTGGACTGCAGTGGATAGAGAGTCCACATGGAAGAAGGGGAATCCCCCAACTTCGGTACCGTAGTCTAGGGTAACCAATGAGCTTTTCTGGTTAAGCGTGAAGCAGGATGCGTTTCCATGCTGGGTATAGTTCGCGAAACCCAGGCTGGTTCCGTATCGGGTAGCGAGTACGATAGTGTCACTGTCAATTTCGTCAGCAATTACCAAGTCACTAGGGTGAATATGTTTACGCGCCTTTGGGCGCCTATGAGCGACGCGAACAGCAAGCTGCTGCACGTAAAGATGGCCAATGGCTTCCCAGACATTTTCATTTATGGCTGTCAAGGGGTCAATCCTACGAGCTTCCTCCAACGCTGCCATTCAAATAAGTACCCTTGCAAGTGAACTCTCATTAGGCACCAGTTTTATACCAGCGGTCGATGTGATTGACCTGTCAGTCAATACTAATGTCGGGATGTGGGCACCTCTGGCTATCTGCCACAGCGATTGGTGCACGGGCTATCGCTTCCCCGAATAAATTACATTGAGGGTCCTATCCCCGCATTCCTGACGGGCTAATTTGTGCCGAATCTGCTGCATGTTCTCACTGCATTCATTTCCCAGTGATTACTTCTTTCCCAGGTTCCCCAGCAACTTTTCGAGCAGCAGACCTGGATTCCCACGTACTTATCAAGACGAAGCTGAGGGCAACACACATCAGCCAGAAGAGGAAAGTAGAGGAGAAGCTAGTCCGCCTTCTACTTTGGGAAGGTATTTGGGACATACCTGGCAGAATTATACCGCCTCGGAAAGTTTTTCGAACGCAGTTAGCGTAGCCTCAGGCATTCACTGTCTGCTTGCGGCCTGAGGCATCACATTTCAATCACCCAAGGAGAGCGGTACCCTAGGAGGACAGCTTCTCTCTACAGGTATACCTCCAATAAATCGGTATGATTATATTCTTACGTAAAGATAATATCGTCCTGTTACACCTTGTACCCGGAGTCCTGTCGAGAGTGGAATAATGCCTCGCAGGATCTTACCCTTGACAATGAATCTGGTCGCATCCGGCGTTTGCGCCTTCAGACTGACTCTGTATTCAGATCAGGCCACCATCTAACACATACAGAGTACATCTATCAGCAGGGGGCTTGCCCCGCAGAACTAAGATCTAGGATGTCGATCTGTGGGAGGCCTAACACGCCAACACGGGAAGATCATCGCCCTGCATTTCAATCTCGTATCCGGTGCGAAGAATAAGGAAGAGATATGAAAACTGAAAGTGACTTGCACTATGGCTAAAGGCTATACCTACCTGACTCGCAACTGCAATCAAAAGCCATCTTCGCCTAATGGCTTCCGAAGTATTCCTCTGAGCTCTTTTTGATCCTACAAGTCCACGCACGGCATCCTCCCTCGGCTAATCGACACAGAGAGTCTCCACCGAATATTCCACGGCGACTACAGCGTAATCATGTCCTTGGCTGTCAGATCAGCCATATCAAATCTCTATATGACGTGAGCCTACTGTACCAAATGCAGGCATAGCTGCATCACCCTAATCAGACCTATTCCATTCAGTGAGCATAACTCAGCTATCAGGCTCTATCCGGAGAGTCCGGGAGGAGTCCGTTGGTTACCTACAGCTTCGCGCAGAGCCAAGGGTGGCTTTGAGTCTATCCAACGATACTTGCGTCGAGGATTGGGCTCAATAAAGCGACTCTTTGGACGCCTCACACTCCTGTCCATTCATGTCCAGTAGATGCTTCATAAGGATTGTACGAGCACTCGTAACCAACACTAGCACCATCCAAGCCTGGTCACCTACACAACTACAGTCAGCCCATCGGGCAATATAAATACCATCTCAAGTCACTATGCTAACTACCTAATACACACCCAAGCCATCGCATCTTCAATCTTTCCATCGAATTCCGAAATATTAAATTCAACCAAGTAGCCTTTTAGCATTCCCAAAATGCAACTCTTCTCAGCTTTCACCTTTACTGTGGCTACCACACTCCTCACCTCCGTCCATGGAACTGCCACTATTGGCCAAGCCTGCAGCGGCAGCAGCACTTATGACTGCACCGACGATTTCAACGCTGTGGCAATCTGTAACGGCGCACGATGGGTAGAGGCCGCCCAGTGTGGAGGTGGATGCTGCGCCTGGCCCTTGGGTGACCCCGCTCCGTTCTGTAGTTGCTAGACGACGGACTGAGGTAAGCTCCCTATAACAGTCCTGAGATGAGCTCTGGAATGTACTGACATGGTATGTTATTGTCCCAGCACAGAGCCACAGCTTGAGTGTATTTGGTCTTGTCGCTGGCAAAGTTCGGGGTCAGTGTCTTGGTATCTCTTGTGGAGTTATTTCATCTGTGATGTATATACGTTCTATGAGTGACTGTGTGGTCGTGTCCGAAACAATGACCTATTCTGTCATTATGGACGAGCTGCGTACTCCGCATGAACTAGAAAATTCCGAGGACACGGATTCACGTCCCAAGAAAACCAGTCAACTTTTCCTTTCAACGAAGTAAAGCATGTTGTAATCAAATCGTCAATGAAGGATGTCTAGGAAGATAACAATACCATGCTTCCTGATCAGTTTCGAGCACCGGAATAGTATGGCCCTTCCGATGTCGATATTTCTATTCATTGCTCAGCCTCACCTTTTGCACGATGCAATCCTGGACAAAGTGGACGCTGATGGTGACCAGCTGACCGAGTCATTCTTAGAATTGTGGAATATATTCATGTCGGTTTCGGCCAATCCCAAGGCTAACGAGATAATCTGTCTCATTGATGCCTTAGACGACTGCCAGGAAGAGGATCGGAATCGGCTCATCAATGCTGTCAACGATTTCTACTTAGGCCCCCACAATGATAGCAAGCTGAAGTTTTTGTTCACAAGTAGACCCTATGAGCATATAAGACGTGGACTGTCTGATCCCATAACAATTCTACCCACAATCCACTTAAGTGGTGGTGGCGAGAGAGAGGCTGAGCAGAGATCAAGTGAAATAAACCTTGTTATCTCGAGAAGAGTGCACGATATCAGCAGACAGAGATCATTGATAAATGAAGAGTGCGAAATGCTCATGGACAGGGTTACTGTGGTTTCAAATCGGACTTACTTATGGGTAAGCTTGATATTAGATGTTCTCGAAAATACTCCGGAGTTCTCAAAAGGCAAGGTCCACCGTATACTGAGCGACCTACCTACCACTGTCGACAGAGCCTACGAGAAAATATTGGATCGGAGTCCTGACAAAGGGAAGGCAAAGACCCTTCTTCATATTCATTACAGCTGTTATGTGACCTCTTTCCCTGGAAGAATTATCTCTGGCTCTTGCACTTAGTGCAGGTTATCAAGATTCGACTGATATAGTTGATAAAATGGAACCAAAAATCGCTTCAGATAGACTTTAAGAGAACTTTGCGGACTCTTCGTGTTCATTCTGGATGACAAGGTCTACCTCCTTCATCAAACCGCGAAGAGATCTCGGTACAGGATAGTAACTCTACTCCGGACAGAACTCTTCCCCAATCCACAACAACCCGGAAGTATTCACTCCATCCCGCTGAATCAAACCGGATTCTCGCAGAAATATGCATTTCCTGTATATCTCTTGAACCAGATGACTCATTCCAGGAATGTATGCTAGAGTACTCATCATGTTATTGGGCCACTCATTCTGCCAAGCTTGCATTCCGGACGAGGATCCGCTAATAGACCCTGGAAAGTCAACCACGCTGCATACCCTCTGGTAGCCTCGAAGGTGGGGAGAGGTGTCCTTTTCAAAAAGAAATGAAGGAACCCTTCAGAGTATGCGGATTTGGCCGTGGCTGAAAGTGCGGTATCGAAGTCTTGGTAGGCAATACAGTAGAACAACACCGTCATAGGTGTCGTCTCACAGAATATGAAGGACATTAATACCAGAAGGATTTTGGGTTTCGGGAGACCATCTTGGATTTTGGAGGCTTTGGAGGATTTTACATCCATCCCTTGAAATTTCATTGCGTTCATGTCGACTGCTTTGGCTGAGAATTCACAACTTTAGATCGGGCACCACGGCATTGGGATCGAGTAGGTGTAGTCGTGCTGGCTTCTCTCTTTTCGGGCCAAGTTTCTTTAAGTGAAACTATGTGTTGAGTCGGTCAGGCAGCTTGCGCTAGTGATATACTGTGCATGTCTCATGTCTCTAATTTCAATAACCCAGTGCATGCCAGACACCTCCGGAAGGGATGCAGCCGGAGTCCTGCAGCGAAGGACAAATAGCGAAACCTCGTCTCAAAATAACCGTGTTTTCTATGATAGCCACACCATCGAGGCGTCCTGCAGTCCCACGTGCTTCTCAAGCTACCCCTCAGCGTCTGCTTTACAGAAACGATGTATATCTGAACAAAACATATTTCGACTACAGCCTTATCATCACCCAAATCGATGCAAGAGGAACGAAGATAATTAGTGTCCACCCGCTACTCTCCGGCGGTTTGGGGCGCTAGCCACAAAAGAACCTCATCTCAACAGACTTCCAGACTAGTCTGATAGACTATTATCTGGATATAGAAATGGCTAGTTATAATTAATTCAATTACTACCCCAATGCCACCACTCTCATTCTTCTGCTGCTTCATCTTCTTTCTCTTCAGAATGAAAGGGTGACAAATCTATGAAACTGATCCTTCAAGTCAAACCGCACCGTCTATGGGTTTAGTTGTATTCATCTCTTACCCACTGTATCTATGCCACCTTCTACCCCCGGAGGGGCTGCTCCATTACGCCATGCTGATGTAAAGTTAGTTAACTATCTTAGTATTGACAAATCACATTATGGGGTGGACACCCCGCAGACAACATTAAGTTGCCATCCCGCTTCCCATTAATGCAGCTGACCGTTCTAGTAGAACACTTGCGCACTGTGATAGAAACCTCAGTCGTCTATCACATTTCTTGTGTCACTTAATGTTTTACTTATTTTGTCCTACCTAAGTATCATTACAAATGTCGTATTGGGACACATTCAGGCTCGAATTATTTCCCAACCCCTCCGGTCTCCTAGGGATCATAAATCAACCAAGCCACACTACTAAAACGCGCAACGTCAGTTCAACCCAAAATTGTCTTGAAAGAAGGTTTTTCCCCATAGGAGGCCATTTACGATAAAATAGGATGTCCCATCAGGTTACAGAATTCCTGAATTGGGATTTGTTGCGCCTTGCTTGGGAAGACCTGCCTAGGGAGACGAAAGCTTTCCTCTGCAGCTACATTAGAGACGTAAAATCGGATGATTTGGAGTCGCACGTCAAGCACATAGTACGAAGGGATTCTTGCGTGCTGCTATCTAGATTGAAAAGCTAATCGATTGCTAGGCAAATGCGGGATGGGACAGAGTGCGACATCCGTGCTGTGGTATGCTATCGTTTGTGGATTTTGATCTGTCTAGATCCCCAGTCTATGGCGAAATCATATCCAATCTCAAAGCGTCCTCATTCATGCTAGACCTGGGGTGCGGCCTCGGTCAAGAAATTCGTCGGTTGGTGTATGATGGCGCCCCAGCCGAGAACATTGTCGGCTTAGACAAAGACGAGCAATTTATAGAGCTCGGTTTTGATCTAGTTCGGGATAGTGTTACCTTAAACTTGATATTCCTTATTGAAGACTTCTTGAATCCTAGTGCAAAACTTGCCCAATTAGCTGGCCACATACATGTCATAAATTCTGGTTACTTCCTGCATTTATGGGATTGGAAAGGACAAGTTAGCGTTGCTAAATGCACGGTCAGCTATCTCTCTCTGCAAGAAGATGACTTGATCACCGGTGTCCAGTTCGGGAGGGAGGACGCTGGACTCTGGAAGGTGCCAACTCTCGACTACTCTATCTTCCTACATAACTCAGCCAGCTTTGCACATATGTGGCATCGGATAGGAGAGGAAACTGGCACCAGGTGGTTGGTTTGGTCGAGAAGCGACCGCGAGGGAAATCACGACAAATTGGATGCTAAGGGATTTCGTTTGCGATGGTATGTGCGGTATGAAGGAAGGCAGTCCCAACCTGTACCGGGTGAAAACTTCAGTGTTAAGCAAGCAGACCAGGAATGCTGCAAGAGCATCCAACTCAGGGAGATTTTTAGAAATGAATAAGAACAGAGCCAGATGTGATTAGCAATTTACTATCGATATAAGGCATACTGAACATTCATCACCCTAGCGCAACGCCGATTACCGCTGTGCATTTTTCGAGTAAATCTCTGAAAGCCAACAGAAAACCACAACCGTATCAGAATCTGGATCTCTATCTAGACCCTCCTAAGACTTCTAAGATTGAAAGGATGGGCTAGAGAGCCACTCCAATTCAATCGGAGCTCGACTGTTTCATTCCATGTCCTGGCTTCAAACATGAGACACCCCAGTCTTTGCAATCTTTGCATGTTGCGAACGAAGGGCATTGTTCGCAAGATTAATGATCACTGAAGGTGTCCGACATGAGAACCATGCAGACCTTACATGTGTCATCATCTCTCTCTGGAACTTTGATTTGCTCATAATCAGATGTAATCATTGATGCCACTTAATCCATTTTTGGCTCTAGGGTCAGTAGCTTCAAAATGTCGACTTTGTTCCTCCTTGTGGCTTCGATTATTGCTGACCGGCCATAAATATCCGTGATCGCTGGGTCCGTCCATTCATCTGGAAGTTCCAGCAAAGCCGCGACAAACAGTGCCATTCCAGAAGCGGTTGCGATTAATAGCGGCATGCGATCATACATATCACGAACATGCGGGCTGCTTCCAGCTTTCAGTGGTAGCAAACCCAGGTCTTCCGAATACAGCCTGAGGGCAGCCAAGATTGGGGACGACCCGTCACTTGGATTGGGGTCTGCACCGCGCTCGAGCAGAAGACTGAATGTCGCCTCCACCGCTTGGCAGCCTGGCCAGTCGCTTATTCTTGACGAATCGTATCTATAAGCAACCAAATGTCGCTTAAGTGCCCATGATAAGGGTGCTTTACTCGTGCCTTCAACCCGGTTCGGATCAACCTTCTTATCAAGAAGCATTCTTACAACTGCCTCATTTCCATCGAGAGCAGCCAAACATATTGGCCTGACGCCGTACTGATTAATGGGATCTGGGTTTGCATTGTATTCAAGCCTCAATTCAACCAAGTGATCTGCTCCATTGTGCGCCGCAAAGGCCAAAAAAAACCAGTGACCCCAATTCTCACGGGCGCTGAGATCGTTCGCGTCCAAAGCCTCTTTGGAAAGTTCCGACTGGCTCTGTACATCCGATTTAGACATCGACGCTTGAGTGTCGGCTCTAGGACTTTCCATAGTGTTGGGGTAAACGCCCCTCTGCAGCAAGAGCCTCGCAAATTCTGTGTTATTGTGACGCATCTGAGTCACATAGGAGAGGGGCAAATCCATAATTGTTTTTGGAATTAAGATCAAACTGCTGAAGAGGCCCCTTGTCTAACAAGAATTGAAGCATAGCCAACGACTTCGCAACGACGGCGTGGTGAAAGAAATTCGAATCCTTTTCGTCAACTAGAATCGGATCATCTACATTGGTAAGGAAGAAGTCAACCAGCTCACTACCAGTGCAAACGGCAGCAAACAAAGCTCTCCCAATGTCTGGGTTTGCGGGAAGCTGACTGAATAGTGCCTTGACCACGTCAAGATTGCCACACAACACTGAGGCTCCCAAAAGCGAGGCCGTTGATTGTGCAGAAATTGTCTCCTCTTCGAGAGCATTCAAGACAATTTCAGTGACCTCGGCATTTCCAGATTTTACTGCTCCTTGGAGAAGACCCAAGTCCTTGGCCTTGAAATCCACATCCATTTGAATAACCTTTGAGACAAACTCGCAAGATTCATCTGCCCTGGGTCTGCACCCTCTGCTAGTATAGTTGGCATATTTCCGGATTGGCATACTTAGTTGTGCCGAACAGCGCCGTCTCAAACATGGCGTTGATTCGCCTAACATCGGCTCCTCTTGATAACAGAAGCTCCATGGTCTCTACCGACCCGCTTTCAACCGCATAAAACAGTGGTGTGCTCCCAAAAATATCTGGTATGTTGGCTGGGAGACCGGCATCTAAAAGAGTAGCCACGATCAATGGTTTTGCCCATCTTGATGCAGGAAAGAGGGCAGTCTGAAGGTACTTGTTCTGGATATATGGATTTCCTCCATTTTCCAGAAGCACCCGCACGACATCTCTATGTCCATTCTTGGATGCGAGGAAACAGAGGTGTCTCTTTTTCGCCATTCTGTTGGTTAGGGTCCGCGCCATGCTTAAGCAACTCAAGCAACACTTCCGCATGACCTAATCGCGCTGCACGATAAAGGCCAGATTCGGTAAGAATCGGCAAATTGGTATGGACGCCGGTCACAAGAGACTTGCCCAGATTCATATACAAAGTTGATAGCTCTTCAACAGTTACAGGCTTCATTGAAGTAATCCAGAGATTGGATCTTTGTAGCGGATTCGAGGAGTATTCGCAATTTGGATCAGCACCTGCTTCGAGAAAGCGGCGTAATATACCCACATCTCCACTCTCAATAGCATAGTAGAGAGTTGAAGGAGAGTTCTCGGGTGTGGCTCCGTTATCAAGCAGTCCTTCCAGTAGTTTCGTACTCAATCAATTTGATATAAACTACCTATTGGCTTGGGACTACTATGGTTGACCCCGGTAATTTTGTTAGTATGGTGGAGAGGTGCAGGGGGTTGAATCCTTCCAATTCTGCTGTTTATATGATTATTAATACTTTGTATAGCCATCTTCCGTGTTAATCACTGCCTGGTATCTTGCAGGCATATTATTAATCAAATTATTTAAGAATACCTCTGGTAAAGCATCCCACGCAGCTTGTATAACCTCATGTAGTTAATTATATGATAACTGCTTATTCTCAGAGTAGTATTACTTAATCCAGTCTTTAATCCAGTTCTAAACAGCTTTAATTAGATTAAGATCTGGTGAGAATACTGGCTAAGTAATTAAAAAGATTCTATACTCATTAAACTCTTGAATAATAATCTTACTTGTATAACCAGAAATATTATTTTATATTAATTAAAGTCATTATCCATTGCATTTAACTAAGTATATAAAACTATCAATAATAAGAAGAATATATTTAATATAACTTTTAGTATTGATACTTCTCTATTCTTTCTTCTAAAAGAGACATGGTCTTTTAAAATTACTGTAGAAAGAGATTTAAAATATCTAATTATACTTATATAAAAGATTTATATAAAGACAGGTTTTATCAAGTTCTTTACCAGATTTATAAGTTATATAAATTTATTTATAAAAGCCTGAGATTATCCAGATTTTATCAGTCCAGAGTATTTAATTTTATTAATTTTATATCTAATATAGATGTTTAAAGGCCCAGGCTAATCTTACTTATTTATTAACTAGTAAAAAAAATAATTTTTAAAATATTTTATAACATATATAGTCTTGCTTTTTTAAAGAATATATTAAGACTGTTATTTTAATAAGAAGATTAAACTTTTTAATAATATAATAATATAGCAGTTAACGCGTACACTTTAAACTCAATATTTAATATATAATATAATCAACTTCTTTATCTGAGAGCTTTGATATATTATTTTTTACTTTATAAGATATAGTTTATTAATTTTAATATATATATTAAACTTGATAATAGCTAATCTATAGCTGATTAACTATTTATTAATAGATAAAACCAGTATTATAAAAAGTAAGAATACGGATATGATTATCATGAGATAGATATTTTAAATTTACTTTTGGAGAGATAGATTCAGATATAGAAGGTGTTGGATTGGCCCAGGGACGCTAGTCCAAAATAGGAAGGCGGTCTAGCGGGGCTAGGCCAATCAGATAATAAGAGGATCCTGCAAAAGCCTTTTACAGGAGTCTCTATCTTGGTCACGTGATACTAGTCCCAATCAGGAAACTAGATCAAAATAATCATAATAATAATAATAATATAAGATCAATACAATTGACAAACTTGTCAAAGGGAAGCAAACACTCATTTACTTCTTAAATAGGAAATAAGTGGATCCTTTAGATAGGAAGTGAATGAATTCAGCTTGCTTGCTTGCTTGCTTCAGCTAGGGGATGAAAGACCTTATTTATCATTTTCAGTGAATGATTCTA